TCTTTAAATCCCATCTTTTCACTTTAGATGTAATAATTGCATGGCAACATTATCGATAATTATTAATAACATTTAATTCTCGTATGTGGCAATGCATAATTTTCATTGGAGGTAGAAAGAAAAAAAAAGGTCGTTGGTCTGCTTTTAAAAAACAGAAATGGAACAGTTTTGTCGTTGTCGCTCTTAAAGTATTTATTAAGTAAAAGATTTAATTGCACAATCGTGAGACTTTAATTTTAGAATTTAATATTTTTTTATTATCAAAAAGTAATTTCTTGTGTTGCTAAAAGACATTTCAAGTTTGAAACGTCTATCGGACGACTCAAGATCGCAACCCTTAGTTCTTATAACATTTACGAGGTAATCTCAGGTAACTTTAGCATGCTTTAGGGAACTGAGTGATCTGAGTATGTTATAAAAGGAATTTTCGCTAATCAAAGGGTAAGTCATTTGAACCAAGTTAGAATTTTTTTTTACACAACTAAGAATGGCAAACAAGCTGACGGCCCACCTGATGGAAAGCGGTAACCGTCGCCTATAGATATGAGCAGTACCATGGACTAACTAACAGAGTATACTGTTTCGCCCATGATACCCCCCATGCGTTGCCATTGCTGAGGACTCAGGTATTACTCCTCTGTACCCTGTAAATTCACGCCATATCCCACCCTTCAAACAGAAACACAGCCATGCAAACACAACTGCTTCACGGTTGAAACACGAATGGGACAGAGGTACCCAAGGAATCCAGGTAGTTTACTAGTACATTTAAAACAATTTATCGTTTTCGCATTCTCGGATCTATTTTCTAAAACTCGTCGTACATACTCGTACAGTCCACTTATATTCTCGCATACCATCAATTAATGAAGTGTCTTTGATTTAGGTACTTTATGTTAACTTACATACTTAAGTATGTGAAACATGAAACTTCATGTGACAGATAACTGAGCCGTGATTTTGATAACGCAAAACAGTCTGGTCGTGTTATTGATCTGATTCATCTACACTGTACTGTATGTTCCTGGTTTTTGAGAAGGGTCGACAGCTTCAGAGATCATGGCTGGCCGTAAATTAGACGTAATCTTGTATGTCTCGGATGCGGTACAGTTCACTTTATACACTGGAATATTGTTACAATTTTAAAGTTTTGAATTATAATTGTAGAATAAGATAATTTCGCACGTTTTGTCGGTAAACCTGGAAATTATCAGTGAATGATGACATATGGGGACGAAATTAGATCAATTTGAATTATCGTGACGAATTCACTGGCGAATAAACACGATGGCCTCGGGGGGAAAGGGATTGTTAGTAATGGAGATTGAGAATCCAATTGCTAGCAATATACCCAACCAGGTCGACCTTCTCGCGGTTCTCCCTGGAAACTATCATGGTTAATTCTTGATGAATTTATCATGATGGGCTAACTGGCCTGTTTTCATTCTCATCTATCACCCTTCACTGGTGCTCCGCCAGCGTATCCCGTTAGCGCAGACTGTGCAAAAACAAAAACACGATGGCCTCCATTACTAATAATCCTTTCTCCCGAAATTAATAAAATGGCAACCACATATGTAAGTGTAAGTAACCTATAGTACACCCCATAGGTATTAGGCATGGGTGATATGGATACCGATCCAATATCTATATTTTAAGTTCCTCTGGACATTGATAGCTGAAAATAGTCATCACCCATTTCGATATCGCCCATAGCGGTCGGATATTTATTTTCGAATATGTTAAAAGTTAAAAACAGATTTAATATATCCGTTATTGGACCAGTATATACATATTGGAACTAAAATCTTCGCCCTCAGACACGATTACTTCTAAAAACTCCACCACATCACACTCAGGCTTTTGGGAATTCCTTTACCCCGTATTGTATAAATAAATAAAGAGGTAAGTATCAAACAATTATAGCAAATGCTTGGTTTTGAAGCTAGAATCTATTTTATTGTGAGAAATCAGGCAACGAACTTCAGTACTATTAGTTACAACACTTAGACTCGAGTCAATTAAGAACAGTTTTTTTCCTAAATTGGCCCAGGGTAGAAATTAGCTCAGGATCTTATTTTTGCAAAGCAACGTACTCTACTATTGCATCAAAATTAAGATCATTATTTTTGTAATTTTAAAATTTGAGGACACCCACTTGGGGAGCAGCGCTGCGCGACCAGCGCGCTGTATGTTGCTGCGCGTGTGCTGTCGACGGCGATCGGTGGGGTGACTCAGTACTGTCCGACTCGACCCACTGAAACTGCGCAGAGATGTTGCATCTCTGTGCATCTTCTATCGAATTTATCATGGGTAGTGTTCTGAGGAATTGTTCGGATCGATACCTGCTGCTGATTTTCACCACCGTACAACCCGCCACAAACTAAAGTTTCATCCCAATCATCTGGACGAGTGGCGGTCTTCCACCGTGCGTTTTTCAAGGTACTTTCTTCCACGCACAACCATTCTTTGGAATCAACGTCCAGCAGCAGTATTTCTGAACCGATACGACAACATAAACTTCAAGAAAAGAGTATATTCCTTTTTAAAAGGCTGGCAGCACACCTGCAATGCCGCTGGTGTTGTGGGTGATCATGGGCGGCGGTAGTCACTTACCATCAGGTGAGCCGCATGATTTTTTTTTAATTTTTTTGTCATATTTATTTTTTTTTTATTTTATTATAATTTAGCATTGAAAAATACATACAACTTTAAATTTTCATCGTTTTACGATCAACCTCTGTATTTTAATTGCGATTATAAGTGGCAATACAACGTTTACGGGGTCGGCTAGTATTTGTATAGACAAACTAAGTATTGTTATTCACTTGTATCATATTCTAAAGGGTATGTATGTATGTATTCTGCAGGTACACTTGAATATTTATGTACATACCTAATTATTTTTGTTGTTTTTTAATATTAGTTTAATGTCATAAATAAATAAAAAAATTATAACCCACCATAGCAATATGGCGCGTCTGGCAGTTACATTTTTTCAATTTTCGTCCATTTTTCTTTGGAAAAAATGTATTTATTTACTGGTAGTTACTAATGATTTCCATTTTATCCTATATTTTTTTTACAACACAGGGGGCAAACGAGCATGCGGCTCACCTGATGGTAAGTGACTACCGCTGCCCATGATCACTCACAACACCAGAGGCATTGCAGGTACGCTGCCGGCCTTTTAAAAAGGAATATGCTTACATACAATTGAATAACGATAAATTTAATGAATGTAACACGTTTGGAACTTCCGACAAATGTAGGTCATTATATCATCGGACGAGTTCTGTAGCGACATTTTCAAGGTTCGTGTTTTGTTTCGTTGTAAAAATACATGGATTAAGCGATGAGCCTATTTGGTTATCTCGAAATGACAATGAACAGCCGTAATTGGATACAGGCCATCATCTGAAACATACAAAAACGTTATGTCTGTTTCTACAGCAACAGTATTCATATGGCAGTAGTGGGTCCATTCAAGCAGATCTATAGAGACTTTATAGCAGTTATTCTGTGATCGAGACGAATATTATTCAAATATTATGTTAAATGTAGATTAAAAAAATAAAATAAAAATAAAATATTATGTACATAATTCAGAGATGTGCGTGGAAAATATGGGATTGGTAAGTTTTATTCCGATATGGTTAACTCAGGTTGTTGGTTTTTATGGTCAAATTATAGCAAATAGGGAGACTTTGTACAAAAGTTGATTGCTTGGGTACCTCTGTCCCATTCGTGTTTCAACCGTGAAGCAGTTGTGTTTGCATGGTGGGATATGGCGTGGATTTACTGGGTACAGAGGAATAACACCTGAGTCCTCAGGAATGGCAACGCATGGGGGGTATCATGGGCGAAACAGTATACTCTGTTATGTGCATGGTACTGCTCATGTCTATAGGCGACGGTTACCACATTCCATCAGGTGGGCTGTTAGCTTGTTAAAACATGATCACGCCTTCATTTGTTGATTGTGATCGTAGGATATGAGATAATGTAATGTTTTTCTCTCAAGTCCCGAGGACTGAGGACGACTCGCGCTTGCCCGAGACCTTTTTCTTGAACGTGTAATAAGGATTTTTTGAGTGTTTGAAAACAATATTAATAATGTGATTGTATATTTTTCTCAGTACATATTATTTTACACAATTTTTTTTATATTATACACTATTTTTAACCAACAAAGAATTCAATTTGACGACCACATACCGTAACTTTTAACAAGGAAAATTGAGTGTTCCTTTTTTATTGTACAAAGAATTTTACCTCGAATTGGATCCCATTTAAATTTAAACAAAATATTCCACTTTCAATGAAATAACAGACGTTGAAATGTCACATTGGTCTCGGCAATTAGGTATAAGACAACAGAATTAGCATGCAGAGTAAGTAGGTGTCTATTAATTTTGTAAATGTAAGAGCTTCCAAAGATGTGACATAGGCTTTGTAGAATTCATATAAGCAATGAAAGAAAGAAAGAAATAGAGAAATATTTTTATTTAAGTAAATATAGATCTAAGCATTTGTTGAATAGTAAATTTTTTAATGCCGCCCATTTTTTTTTTGATGGGTGAAAATGGTGTGGTAACCCCTGCGCTAGATGAGAATGAAAACAGGCCAGTTAGCCCATCATGATGAATTCATCAGGAATTAACCATGATAGTTTACAGGGAGAACCGCAAGGAGGTTGACCTGGTTGGGTATATTGCTAGCAATGGGATTCTCAGTCTCCATTATTAACCATCCCTTTCCCCCCCATTACCGCCCATTCGAAACGCAATTTTAGCCAAGAAGAACGGGCAAGAAACTGAACTGCTGCTCTTTTCAAAAAGTTTATTTTATAAACTGAAATTAATTAATTTAATTTTATAATTTAAAGTATATCTAAATTTATTTAAATCAAAATATTTCTTTATTTCTTCCACAGGTTCTTGGTCCTGTTACTGCTCACTGGACCACGTGCAACGTCGATGCAATCTCTACCACAGGGAGTAACACTTAAAAGTGATATTATAAATCAGTAATAATACCTGGTATATTATCTGTGACAATACTACTATGGTAGTAAATAAGCATGTAGTCAACAGTTACTGTAGTCTATGGACGACTGTAACACCAGGAATAAAACGCGCGCGTTGTCGACCCTAACAATTTTCTTACGTCTTTTTTGTAGAGCTCCATACTGTAATCTCTAGAGAAAACCTCGGCAGGGAGGTCATTTCACGACTTGAGCGTTTGTAGAATGAAGCTTTTCTTAAAATTCTGGCTGCTATATATATCTACTCGCTGATAATGTAGTTTTTGTGAGTGAAAGAATTTTCAAAATCGGTCGAGTAGTTTTTGAGTTCATCCATTACAGACAAACATGCAAAAACCTAATTTTTCCTTTTTACAAGAAGATAACTTTATAAATTTCCACTTTTGTTTAGACGGCGCTGAGTTCGAGTACATAGTGGTAGGAGCAGGCGCGGCGGGCGCGGCCGCTGCTGCCCGCCTCGCTCTCGCCGGAGCACGCGTGCTGCTCGTGGAGGCGGGCGGAGACCCCGGCCTCATCTCCAAGGTACCCGTTTAGCGGAAGGTGATAACCGTCACCTATAGAAATGAACAGTACCCTGACAATAACAGAGTATACAATACAACCTGACAATAATAGAGTGTCGCCCATGTGTTGCCATTCCTGAAGACTAAGATATCTTTAAACCCTGTAATTTCATTGCCATATCCCAGTTCAAACTTCTTCAAACCGAAACACAGCCATACAAACATGACTGCTTCACGTCAGAAATACGAATGGGACACAAATACTCAAGTAGACGACTTTTGTACAAAGTCTCCCTCTGGTAATTATCCGTTCTTATGGTTCACTTGTGCCGACCAATACAAAGTGGTATCCTTAATATATATTACATTCTTAAAGTCGGAATACAGCGTGCAAATAACGACATTAATTAGTGGAATAAATACGATTATATTTTGATATTTATCACATAATCTGACGGGCTTTTACTGAAAATCAGCGTTGTAGCTTCTCGACTGCTATACAGAGTGTCTCAAAAGAAAGGTGACATTTGTTTTGGTTATTGCGTGAACGCAACTATTCTGAGGGGCGCGGGGGGTATGTCTTTCGGTAGCCTAGCTTCTGGAAATTTAGTCGCTATGGAGCGTTTCTTGGAAAAATCAAACCAACCATGACCAAAATCCGGACGTCCAAGGTCTTCGAAAACGTTCGAAAACATAGACAGTGTTTCTCACTCTGTTCGTGACAAGTCAGACCTTTCGATTCGAAAGCGTGTTGATGCTTTAAACGTGCATAGATCTTCATAGATCTTTTCTGGTTATAATCAAAGAACAGGGCTTCAGCAGGACGGAGCAATTTCACACACGTCCAACAGGTTTTTACCACGAGTTCGTGAAATTTTTCCTGGCAAATTGATATTCAGGTGTGGTGACATAAATTGGCCTCCACGAAGTCCCGATTTAATTTTCCTGTGAGGTTACGTCAAATCAAAAGTTTATGCCAATAAACCGACTTCCTTGGCACTACTGAAAGGAAATATCCGTCACGAAATGGCAGCCATCACGGACAATACATGCCGAGCCGTCATAGAAAATTTCAGAGCTCGATTAAATGAGTGCCGTGAACGCAACGGCTTACATTTGGATCATATCATTTTCAAGAAATAAATTCCCGAAAAGTGTATTTTAATATGTATTAAACATTTTCTTAATAAATTCCTTGTTTAATTTTTTATCGATTTTTCAAATGTGAACTTTCTTTTGATCCCCTTATATAACACTGACTGTCAGGATTATCGGATAAGATTTTTGATTTCCAAATATCATACATTTATTCTCCAAATCTTTTATCATTAATCATAATACGAACAATGAAAAAAGAATTACGACACCCATAGGATAAGAAGGGGTGGTCTATTCTATGCTGGGACCACACGGCAATATAATAATATAATATAAATAATAATTAAATGTATTTAAATATTTGATATTTATTGTAAATTTATTTTTAACCATTAAAGGTACCTGCCGCGTCAATGGCGTTGTTGGGCTCCAATCTGGATTATCAATACGAGACTATATCGAACAACGTATCGTGCCTCTCGTCAGAGAATAGAGCTTGTCGAGCCAGCCGGGGCAGGTGTCTCGGAGGCTCAACTAGTATCAATTACATGATGTATATCCGCGGAAATCTACAAGACTTCGACAGCCTCGGCATCGAAGGCTGGTCGTGGAACGACATGATACCTTACTTTTTACGTTACGAAGGATTAACGGATTTGAGTCAGCTACCTTCGTCTTCCATACCGTACCACAATACGACGGGCACTATGAAGATTGGCTTCTTCAATAACTCCGATAACTCTTGGCGTTCCAGAATAATTGATGGGTTTAATGCATTAAATATTCCGTATAATGCTGATGTAAATGCAATTTCACAGATCGGTGTCTCCCAAGTCATTGGATATGTATATAAAAATCAACGAATGAGTACAGCAAGAGGTTACCTGGAAAGAGATGATGTGAAGAGGAAACTGAAAGTGGCCAAGTACACCAGGTGCACAGGAGTTATCATAGACGATGACAATGTGGCTCGTGGCATTACGGTCGTTCATGGACCTTTTAATGCTACATTACGACTCTATGCGTCGCGGGAGGTTATATTAAGCGCGGGGGCGCTCGTCACTCCACAGTTGCTTATGTTGTCGGGCATTGGTCCTGCTGATCATTTAAACGAAATGGGTATACCAGTTCGCGTAGACTTATCTGTAGGTGATAACATGACCGATCACGCATTGTCTTTGATATTTATTAAGGTCGAGCGAAACTCGAGCTTATTGAAAGCCTTCTTCAAAAGTTTTGGGAGAATAATTGATTTTCTAATTGATGTATTATTTACACAAGGCAAGTCTCACGGTTCTATCGACATAACTGACATCATTGCTTTTGTGAATACACTGTGTTATGATTTTGAGAAAGAACAACTTAAGAATAATAGTGCTGACTGTGCATTGCCAACAACACAGTTCATACTTGCGTATATAGATAAAGGTTTGATCCAACTCGGATCAACTTTCTTTCAACAAAGTACAGGACTAAATCATATTATCACTAAACAATTAGGCAAAATTAATGAAAAATATGCTTTTTTATTACTATCATCTCTAGTACTGCAACCAAGGTCTAGCGGTACGGTGCGGTTGGCAAGCGTGGACCCACTTCAAGCGCCTGCCATTTTCCCTAATTACCTATCGGACGAACGCGACGTGGACGAGATAGTGCGTGGCATTCGGATTACAGAGCAGTTGACGGAGACGCCGGCGTTCAAGGCTGTGGGCGCGTCGCTGGTGCGGCTGGAGCTGGAGGGCTGCCCCTCCAGCTCGCAAGACTCGGCCGCGTACTGGCGCTGCTACGCGCGCCACCTGACGTACTCCACGTTCCATTCGGTGGGCACGAGCGCGCTGGGCCGCGTACTAGACACACGGCTGCGCGTGCGTGGAGTGGCACGCCTGCGCGTGGCCGACGCGGGCGCGCTGCCGCGGCTACCGCGTGGCAACACCGCCGCCGCCGTCATCGCGCTTGGAGAGAGGCTCGCGGATTTCCTTCTAGAGGATAATATTAATTAATACCGGTCAATTAATTTGTTGAAATAAAAAAAATAGTTTGTGCTAATTGTTTCTAATACACAGCATGGACTTTCTTCTTCCATCCATAATCTTAAACACAGTAAACTTAAAAACAGTTTTGATTGGCATGAACACTTGTTCTGTGCCCAGTCTACAATAACAGTATCTTCGGGGTTCCAATTTGTACAATTTGTACCAGACATTTTTTTGTAATGTGGTCAATAAAGAATAAAAAATAATATATATTTATGTGTTTTAGTATCTATTAATTTTAAATGACTATAAAACACGTCCTTCTGTTCTAATAAATCACTTTCAATATATTTTTTACGTTGGTAGTTCAATTGTACAATATTGTACATGTTACATTTAAGTAAATAGGGGGATGGATTTTGTAAAGATGAAAGTCGAACTCATAATTAAAGGTGAATAAATAAAGATAGAATGATTCCATTACTCAATACTTGTTTATTATCTATTTACTAGAAGGAAATTTTGTATAAAAGTTGTTTGCTTGGGCACCTTTGTCCCATTCATGTTTCTACCATGAAGCAGTCGTGTTTGCATGGCTGTGTTTCGTTTCGAAGGGTGGGATATAGCAGTGAATTTTCAGGGTACAGAGGAATAACACCCGAGTCCTCAGATGCCTCCCCCATTATAGGCGAAACAGTTTCTGTTATGTCCTTGTCTTCCTCATGTCTATAAGCGACGATTACCACTTTCCCGTGGCACGGTGGGCCATCAGCTCGTTTGCCATTCTAAGTTGATTAAAAAAAGTATCTCTTTATGAATATATTCTCTTATATCTTTTTTATGACTCCAATGTAGTTTCAGAATGTAGATATCTACTGAGAAGAAATTACAAGAAACTTAGCAGTTACTCTTTAAAAATCAATGATACATACCTATAGTGTTTATTTTATACAATAGGATATATATTTGAAATTATTTATAAAAGTCGTTTGCTTGGGTACCTCTGTCCCATTCGTGTTTCAACCGTGAAGCAGTTGTGTTTGCATGGCTGTGTTTCGGTTTGAAGGGTGGCGTAAATTTACTGGGTACAGAGGAATAACACCTGAGTCCTCAGGAATGGCAGCACTTGGGGGTATCATGGGCGAAACAGTATATTTTGTTATGTCCATGGTACTGCTCATGTCTATAGGCGACGGTTACCACTTTCCATCAGGTGGGCCGTCAGCTTGTTTGCCATTCTAAGTTGTATAAAAATGTGTATATATATAGAATTTTGAAAATAAAACTTTAATACTCTTTTGTTGGAAAGGTGCATATGATGAATTATGAATTTTAAAACATTAGATCTCGAATCCTTTGAACATAGAGTGAACAAGCAATTTTAATATGTACTCTATACTATGCCTTGCTAATGATATTTTTTAATTTTGTAATTTTTGACAATTATTGTTGGTTTTTTTGGTGCTTCATTTTTTTTTTGTTTTGTATTTTAAGATATCTTTTATTGGGATTAAAGGTAATGAAAAGGTCGATGAGTTGGCGATAAAGGGATCAGAATCAAAAATGATAGGTCCCAAACCATATGTTGAACTTGCATCAAGTGTTGTTAACTCTGCCCTTGAGGAGTATGTGAGGAAAAAACAGCAAAAGGAATGGAGGACTTTAAAGGGTCTTCAACATTCTAAAAAGTTCTTAAATGACAATGTTGAAGAATGGGATAAACTCATCTACAGCGGTGGCAGACAACAGGCAAGACTCATTATAGGTGCCTTAACTGGACATATGCTAATAAGGCATATACTCGTACTACACAAGATGGGTCTATCTTCGGACACACTGTGCAGACTGTGCGGAGAGAAATCGGAATCTATGGAACACTTGATGTGCAACTGTGATTCGTTAGCGAGCATGCGCATGAGGCTACTGGGAACGGCTTATCCAAAGCCAGGGGACTGCAGATGTTTTAAACCGCGGGATATCGTTAAGGTAACACAAAGGATCTATGAAATGATGGTATAAGGCAGGGGGAAGCACAAAAGATCCCGATGGGTCGACGTGCAATGGCTTAGCTGACCCCATATGCGGTTATAAGATAAGATTATGATATCTTTTTGTTACTTTTAAATAATATACAACACAATGTAGTATTGTTACGAATAAATAAATTTAATACCATAATAACGTAAGTAATTAAGAATATTAATATATTAATTAATTAAACATAATAATAACAAATACCTTATATTTGATTTTTTTTTATACACATTACGGTTCGACGGATCACACAAGACTCTTATAAGGCTGTTCTTAATACATCGAATACCCGTTTTTATATGTTTATCATTCAACAACAATCAAATCAATACTAATTAACAATACTTTCGTATTAAAACTAACGTTATTAACTCCTAATACGTCACTCACATGTTTTAAACATTATATTTAGACTAGTTCACAATAAAAACAGATTATTACGTTAATCACATTATCACACTATTGCTAATCACGTTGTAAACAACATTCGAAGCGCTTATACAATATTTTCATTAAATTACATTGTCAACATATATGTAAGTGATATAACGTCACATTTGTTACCAATTATGTAATATTTCATGGCAATTTTAATTATAATTATTAACATAGATAGATAATGCTATACACTTGCTACACACACAAATACACACTTGCTGGAACAATATACCACCACCGGTAAGATTATGTAGTATTAAATATATATTTATAAGAGCCTTAAAAAGGTTTTCATTGATAAACAGAAAATTGGCATACCTAATAGGTACGTAGCGGGGGGAAAGGGATTGTTAGCAAACGAGTTTGATAGCCCCATTGCTAGCAATATGCCCTATTAGGTTGACTTCTGCGTGGGTCCCCTTGGAAACCATCGTAAACAATTCTTGTTAAATTCGTCACGATGGGCTAACTGACCTGCTTCATCCTCACCTATCATTCTTTACTGGTGTTCCGCCGGTATCATTCTTTACTGGTGTGTATACCGATAGCGCGAGTGGGGTTACCACTCCATTATCACCCACAAAAAATAGGTACGTAACGGAAATATTGATCACTAGAATGTTTGAATGTGATCGAGTGTGACCTCATTCTAAATAATATTTTTCATTTATTAATTTAGATGAAAATATTAAATAGTGGTTAATAATGGACACACACAATTAGTTTAATTTATTTATATATATTTTTGGTCAAGAATTCTTGCAGTTGATTTTTGGTTTTTGGCCACAACAGAATATCAGTGTTTTGCTCTTTTGAGGGCAAAGCAATAAACTGAGTTGTGACCATTTTGTGTTGCCTACTGTGACCTACCACATTCACGAAAAATTATGTTACCTTTTTAAGTAAGTGATGCAAATAAATTATATATCTATCTATCAATTTAACACCTTCTTTTAACTTATAAATGATGCCATATATTAACTCTACGGAATCAATATATCTAATATCATATAGCCACGCTATCACGCACAATTCCAATACATATTGGTTGGCATATCTGCAATATTTTACAATATATCTTTCTATGTACTCTATGTTACCTTTTAGTAATAACCAAACACCTCCTGCGTTCTGTGCCTCGCAGCTGTGGTCCTATCTCATAGTGGTATTATTTAAAGGCCCGATTTTTGTAATGCATATAGTTTGATAATTTGGGTTTAGATGCAATAATGCTTTTAGAATGTAGCTTTTATTAAACGAACTTTGCGATCTTTGGTAACTTTGTGAATTTTGTGATATTTTAACGTTTGCTTTTTGGTATCTAAAAGTATTATTGTTATATCGTAGATTATTATTTTCCAATAAATTTCTTAATAATATATATACGATTAGTCCGTTTAAAAGTAGCCAGTGTTCTTCTCCATCTAAAATACACATGTAAATCAAATTTCAGGATGATAGAATTATTAAGAGCTTGAGAGGTTAGAAACAAACACATTATGCCATAACTTTAAGAAGGATGTCGTTTTATTGTCATAAAAAATTTAACCTATGGCCAACCAACTGGCGAGCGACTCTTTTTTATTTTATATTTATTTGTACTTATACTAAGAAATGTATTCATTTACATTCTGTTCAATAATCAACTTCTGAACTATTTTCTTCGACGGAGTTCAGAGAGATTGAAAATTTTCCAACACAAAACAAATACAATACGAACATATGTTTCCAATGCAGATACAAATAGGCTCTACTCCTCATTTCCCTTGAAGGTCAAATAATTAACACCTACTTAAATATAATACCATTTATACAAAATGTATTTGTTGTACAAAATTGACATTGCCATCGTCTGTATTTATTTCGTTCATTCAATACGCACTATCTAATAATTAATATTTGAAAGTGCTGACGTAAAACTAATAAAATTACTACACATGCATGTGTCTATTGTATGGAAAATTTAATTTGTGAATAATATGTAGCAACTTTGCCAGAGAGAGAGAGGTCACTTAATTGGTCAAAACAATTCAATGTGCTAACGATATTTTTGACCGGTATCTTGAAACAAGTCATGCTCACTTTGATGTCCAGGGAACGTGTTGCGGCGTTGTGGGCCAAGTTTTTGTTTTGTTGGATGATAATGGAATGGAAATCCCACTTTTTTTTTAACGTCTGGAAAATGCTTTATGCAGACCCATACAGTTTGTGGGAGGTGAATGGGTACTGTGGGAATCCCCCCGTTAGGCGGGGGTGTACCCACCAAAAACCAGACGATATACCCTCAAGCTGTCGTATGTTGGAGACAGGTTCGCTTTCGCACTTACCACATCTTCGACGGTAGCGACCCGCCCTCTGATGGTGAGGGCAGGCTCCTTTCCATGGTAACCCCACCTGCACTCTCGATATACGCTGGCGGGGCATCAGTGGGGGATGATAGGTGACAATGAAGCAGGTCAGTTAGCCCACGGTGACGAATCTAACAATAAATCATTCACGATCGTTTCCAGAGGGAACCACGAGAAGATCGACCTGACAGGATATATAGCTAGCAATGTGGCTACTAATCCCCATTACTAACACTTCCTTCTCCCCCTGTGGGCCGAGTTGTTGGGCTTTTTAGAATACGGTTGAACACAATGATGGCTGGCTTATCCGTCATACTCGTGACCGAGTGCTTCTAGTAGGGACTGATCTGTTCAAGAATACTGTATTTGGTTGTAGTTTTTATTAATATGTAATTTGGGTTATTCATTAATTTTTTCCTTTAATTTTTTTTTTAAGTGCGTAGCTCATACACTGTCATCGTTAAAGAAATGCAGCTGTCTATACGCAGCTATTACAACATTACAACGCATCTTTATTTATTATCGGATTTACATTTAAAATATGTTCAGCTAACACTTAGTAGGTATTATAATAACATTGAAATGAAATGAACTGAAATGGAATGGAATAAAATGAGATTCATTCGTAAAAAACATAACTGTAGTCTCTTAACTAATATTAATATTATAGTTTTATAAGGGTACAGTAATTATGGTTTTAGAACTGGGCTTTCCCACCAAAATACTATCTACTACCACGTGGACGAAACCAACTCAACTAGTTACTTTATAAATAAATATTTAAAGCCTGCGTCACGTCACAATTAGCAAGTATACAATATATAGCGTGAGTGCCGGCTGTCGCTTAGTACAGTGACGTGCTATTCGAGCCAGGGGAAACAATGTGAGTATCCAAGTACACAGGCGGCGGGCGGCTGACGCTGTCGCTGCGGCTGCGCTGGCGCGGAATGTGGCGGCGCCTTGCGGTAATATTGTCGTGCTCGTGCTAATATAATGCTTCTATTCCTGTTGACAGTGTGAACAGTGCCACTTGTTGGTTGACATGGCACAAAATATAAAGAATCCGATAATCAAAACCGTCTAAACAATCATATATTTAGACTTTTTATCTCGAGTTAAAGCTCTCGAGTTCACGTTCTGACATTGGTTTGCTGAGGAACGATTTCATATATTTTAATGACCACCTCACAAGCTCAAACAAAATCCTTTTACAATCTACAAAGAAAATAGCCAGAGGAAAAAAATATGCCTATATTTGTGTGAAGAACTGCTCCATTATGGTGCGCGGTGCGGATACAAGTTCAGTTCTAATTATAAGTAATAGTTGATATGTCTATCTTCGCCCGTGTATTGTCTTGATATGCGTGTTTGAGTGTTTATTCTATGAATATAATAAAATGTTACAGAAAAGAATAATTGTAATATTTAGAATCAAGGTTTTATATATTAATATGTGTTTTCAGTCTTATTGCTATTGTATTTCTATATTTACTCGAATGTTTGTGATTGATTTTGATTTGGGACATAGATATAATTCTCAGACGGATAATTTCAATTTTTATATTTGTGGTGGAGAGTTAATTATATTGAGATGTTTGGATTCTCTACCAGTGCATATATATGTGTCACATTTTATGAATTATTATTTATTAGAAATTATTGAGGCTATCCCGTCGCTGTAGTGCCTTACACATGTTTGCACGAGAGTGTACGGACGATTTTTATGCAATACAGCGCAAACGAATTGTTTCGCTGTTGGATAGGGTGCGTGTTAGCTCAAACAATGTCTTGGAGACAATTGCCTATTTAAAATATTGAATGGGACAGGTTATCAATGCAAAACCGTCATGAGTGCTCATTTACTAACATGGATAAGTCAAAATAAAAAAATAAAATAAAACTTGAAGAACATCGACAAACACATTATCTTACGACTATGATCAAGACTGAAGCTGCTAGTGAACGGATTCAACACAATAATTTACACACTCCACACATTGTTCGACTTGTGCTTAGTAAAGTGTTAAAATCTATCCAGGTGTGAAGTATTTCATGACATTTGAAGGATGTTTAATTTTTTCCGATGCAATTTTACTCTGGACTCGATATATGGCTCGAAGTTAACGGACTGCTTCACAGTCAGCAATATGGTTTCACCGCCGGCAAGTCTACCACTGACGCAGGAGTTGCGCTAATGACACATATTTTCGAATCTTGGGAGAGGTCACAGGATGCACTCGGAGTTTTTTGTGACCTATCAAAGGCATTTGATTGTGTGGATCATAAAACGCTTTTGTACAAGCTCGAACATTATGGTATAAGAGATAATGATCTAAAATTAATGAGAACTTATTTAGAGGATAGGGTTCAAACTGTAGATATTGACGGTGTAAAATCTAAGGGAGCTAATATTAAGATGGGCGTTCCACAAGGGTCAATCTTAGGCCCCTTTCTCTTTTTAATCTACATAAATGACCTTCCCTTTATGGTAGAGAAAATTGCAGATATAGTGCTGTTTGCGGATGATACTTCGTTAGTGTTTAAAATTGGACGTCAAAGTAATCAATTAGACGATGTAAATTGTGCTATGTCTGCAATATTAAATTGGTTTACATGTAATAACCTATTATTAAATTCCAGCAAAACAAAGTGTATAAAATTTACACTTCCTAATGTAAGACTAATAAATACACAGTTATTGCTTAATGACGAAATAGTAAATTTTGTTAATGATACAGTTTTTTTAGGTATAACAGTGGACTCGAAATTACAATGGGGGCCCCATATTTCAAAATTGGCCAGTAGACTCAGTTCTGCTGCATATGCAATTAGAAGAATTAGGCAATTAACAGACGTGGCGACGGCTAAACTTGTTTATTTTAGTTATTTTCACAGCATAATGTCTTACGGCATTTTGCTGTGGGGTAAAGCAGCCGATATAAATACTATATTTGTTTTACAAAAGAGAGCCATACGTTCTATTTATGGTATGGGTTCAAGAGAGTCATTACGTCAGTGCTTTAAAGACTCAAATATCCTCACAGTTACTTCACAATACATTTATGAAAATATTATGTATACACGGAAGAACTTAGAGAGTTTTAAAAAACTCAAAGACTGTACAAGTAGAAACTTACGCAATATAAATAAGCTTATTTTACCTAAATGCCGTCTGCACAAAATAAGTAATTCATTCTATGGTAATTGCATAAGATTTTATAATAAACTGCCGGAATCTGCATTAAATCTGACAGAGAGGCAATTCAAATCTTATATTAAACAATTTTTATGTAAGAAAGCCTATTACAGGATAGACGAATTCATAGATGACAACATATCAAGTAAATAATTAGTTTATTAGCATACAACGTTATAATTTTATTTTCTCATTGCTTTCTTGATTTAATTGATTAATTTTAGAAATATGAAAGCGTAGCGGTTTTTTGTATTAATTGCCGCATGCATTCTTATGTAAAATGTGAATACTATAACTATCAGATGGCAATTGTGAGTAGCTTTGACGTGGTCTAGTGTTTTGAGTAGTCATGCTCACTAAAATGTCCAGACTTGTGGCGGCGTGGTGGGCCGGGTCATTGGGCTCCCTAAAATATGGTCGAGCGCAGTGATGGCTGGCTCATCCGTCATACTCGTGAACGGGTGCTGCTTGTAGGGACTGGTCTGCTCTAATCACTATGACTGATTTCCTCTTATTAATTGTTTAACCAGTTGGTTATGTATTCAATATTTTTTCTTTTTGAGTATTTAATTGAATTAGTGCTAATTGGTGGTTTGTATTCACACAATTAAACTTAAAAATGTAAAGTAATAATAAAATTATTTAAAAGAGCAACACGCAAGTTTCTTGCTCGTTCTTCTTGTGATGAGACAGCTTTCCGAACGAGCGGTAGATTAAAAAAAATGTAATGACTTTTCAAAAGTGCTTCAATGTAAGTTTATTTGAATAAATGATTTCTATTCTATTCTATTCTATTCTAATAGAGGATAAATTTACCTAGAAATTCTAGATGACCAGAAATTGGAAAACATATTTCGTAAAATGGCTATCAAGTTGGAAGTAAAGAGACGTAACTGTATCTTTGCAGTAATAAACTTTTAATATCATCCATCCATGAATGAGGCGCCAACAACTGAAGTCATGGATTTGTTCCCTGACGCAAGTGTTCTCGCTAAAAAATACTTATTTTATTGTTATGACAATAGCGATAAAAATAAGAGTAAGCTAACTGTAAGATAATATTTTTTATTTGATACCGTCAGGTTGGTGTTCCTACTGCTGTCAGTTCTTGGCACCACTCAGTTTGCGAGAGCTCTCCTGCCGAGCTTCTCGCTGCCTGTTGGAGTGACCCTTACAGGTAATAGCAAGCACCTATGTCAGTATTTGACCTATCTTAGACTGTCTTGCATCCAGACATATTTAAAATTTCGAGAAGTTATTTAAAGGAATGAAATGTAATTATAAATAGTACCATGTTGATGGATCGAGTACTCTCGAGTGTTTTTTTTGGTGGATATCACCATTTCGCATGAAGAGAACCTCATGAAAGCTAAAACCGGGAAGAAGAGAATGTATCTCGACTTGGCTTACAAGGTGACCGAAATGTAGAGGGGTTACATGCACTGAAATCATTCCAATTGTTCTGTCGGAGTACGATCTTATCCCAACTAGTTTGAAACGATACCTCTGACAATTGGGATTTCAAGGCAGCTTACTTCAGGGAAAGATACAGAAAGCAGTGCTTTTGGATACTGCCTGTATAACACGCCGGTTTTTCTTCCTGAGCTCCTGAATTCTCACCATCTGTGTTTCTGCCGTAGGTATATTGACTCGATGGAGTCAATATATTACTATGGCCTTAATTATAAATCCACTTAAAATGTTATTTATCTATGTTAATAATTAAAATTATGATTGTCATAAAATATTACATATATTTTAATAATGTTGTTTTTAAAATTAATCACGTAATTGACTAAAGGAACATGCTTTATTCAATTACGTGATGGAAATACGCGAATTTCAAATACGCGACGAGAAACCGACTCCTACTTAAAATACGGCAGCCTCTCATTCATGAAGTCGTACTTGAGAGTTAAGTCTTGATGGAGTATTTCGGCTTCCTGTTTGTGGATATGTAAGTACTCACTGTTGGCAAGAGCTGAACAATCCGAGAGCACATGTTCGAGTGACTCTCTGGGATTGCGATACGTCTGACAGATATCCTCAGTGACATCAGATCAAAGAAATTCGCATACTGTTCAACATTGCTCATCCGGATACTTCACAGTACGGTTTATAATAAACGAAACATCACCGGGCCCAGTTTCGGCGTGAACATTATCCATCATCAACTTCGTAATGCCCTGGCTCTGTTTTGGCGGTACAGATGGCGAGGAGTTCGAGTACATAGTGGTGGGCGCGGGCGCGGCGGGCGCGCCGGTCGCCGCCCGGCTCGCGCTCGCCGGCGCCAGCGTGCTGCTCGTGGAGGCGGGCGGAGACCCGGACCCTATATCCTGGGTATGCTATGTAGTCTATACTAATATTACAAAGAGGAAAGATTCAATTCTTTGTTTGTATTGAATAATTTCAAGAACTACTTAACTGATATTAAAAATAATAAATAATAATAATTTCATTTATAAAGCTATAATACAGTTTTATTGCATAATTGCTTTTTAAACTCGTTGCTTCTGATTATCTAAAAAAATCGATTCGTGTTTCTTAGTGAGGCTAACGAACATACTTTACGTAGTGTCAATAACGTCTGCCTTAAATTTCCCGCTCATTCTTCTTCCTTTTATTCTAAATCCTTTACTGTCCAAGCAACTCGCCTGTGGAACTTACTAACTGCCTCTATTCGATGCGCTCAAACTTTCACTAGCTTCAAAATCTCGGTTAAATCCTATTAACTCTCCCTTTAGTACTATTTTCCTGTGTTCTCTCTCTTTATTTTCCTTCGCCATTTTCTTCTGATGTATGTGTGCTATACAAACAATTATATACAGGGTGTAAGGGACAGGTTGGCCAAAACAAAAACAGCTGATCCAGATAAATGATCTGAATCAAATAGCAGATCATTTTCCCATCGGAAATGCACCACAGCCATTTGAAATTTTACGATTCATACGACGCGTGATACGTTTGCTGTTACTGTTTTTTGGTATTTCATAGTATATCATTTATATTATGACACAATATCATAGATTAGATGATTTTGAACGAGAAAAATAAGGGAAGAAATTGAATTTTTACGTAAAGAATTACCAATGACTTTTGGTTCAGAATAATGGTTTGAATTCACTGTTTCAGTTTTTGCTAACCTGTCCCTTACACCCTGTATATTAATTAATTTCGCACGCCCGAACGCACGCACACATGCACGAACATAGAAGCTAGTAGATATATGAAACAATTACTAATTATTACAGGTACCAGCTGCATTTTTAGCGCTAGCGAACCCGGCCATAAACTATCAATATAAAACAATTTCTAACAATGTGTCGTGTCTGTCGTCACGGAACAGAGCATGTCAGGCCCGCCGCGGCAAGGGTCTCGGCGGCACCACCAGCATCAACTATATGATGTACGTCCGCGGTAACCGACACGACTTCGACGAGCTGAACATCACGGGATGGTCCTGGAAACACATGGAACCTTACTTTTTGCGTTACGAGGGCTTGCAAGATTTGGATCTTCTGCCCCCATCTTCAATACCATATCATAATACCACGGGTACTATGAAGATAGGATTCTTCGAAGACTCTAATAATCCGTGGCATTCGAAAATCATTGATGGATATGATGCTCTCAATTTCCCTCGTAATCCTGATGTCAATGGGGTATCTCAAATTGGAGTTTCTCGAATTATTGGATATACTTATAGAAACGAGCGCATGAGTACTGCACGAGGATATCTCGGAAGAGATGATGTGAAGAGAAAACTGAAAGTGGCCAAGTACACCAGGTGCACAGGAGTCATCATAGACGATGACAATGTAGCTCGTGGCATTACGGTCGTTCATGGACCTTCTAATGCTACATTACGACTCTATGCGTCGCGGGAGGTTATATTGAGCGCGGGGGCTCTCGTCACTCCACAACTACTTATGTTGTCAGGTATCGGTCCTGCTGATCATTTAAATGAAATGGGTATACCAGTTCGCGTAGATCTGCCAGTAGGCAATAATATGACAGATCAATCACTGGTGTCAATGTTTGTTAAAGTGGAGGAACCGTTAAATTTACCGAAAGAAATTTTAAATAGCTCTGAAACGGGTATCTTGCTACCTCCAAGTGGTTCTATCAGCCTCACTGATGTAACTACTTTTGTAAACACATTGTGTTATGATTTTGTTAATCGACAACTCACGGGAAACAGTACGGAGTGTGAGTTGCCAACAACACAGTTCTATCATTTGTATACAGGTAGAGGTTTGCCTATAGTCGAAGGAGTCATCTTCAGATATCTGGGATTGAATGACTCTGTAGTTAATCAATTAAGTGAGGTTAGTAAAAATTATGCTCTTATAAGGATGACGTCAGTACCATTGCAGCCAAAGTCGAGCGGAACGGTGCGGTTGGCAAGCGTGGATCCGCTTCAAGCACCTGTTATTTTTCCTAATTACCTGTCTGACGATCGCGATTTGGAAGAGATGATGCGCGGCATTCGGATTATCGAGCAGTTGATAGAGACGACGGTGTTCAAGGCAGCGGGTGCGTCGCTGGTGCGATTGGTACTGAAGGACTGCCCTAGCGGCGGCCAGCAGCAGGATTCAGACGAGTACTGGCGCTGTTATGCGCGCCATTTGACATCCACTACGTTCCATTCGGTGGGCACGAGCGCGCTGGGCCGCGTGCTGGACGCGCGGCTGCGCGTGCGCGGGGTGGCGCGCCTGCGCGTGGCCGATGCGAGCGCACTGCCGCGGCTGCCGCGCGGCAACCCCGCCGCCGCCATCATAGCGTTCGGCGAGAGGCTCGCGGATTTTCTTCTAGAGGATAATATTAATTGATAGTGGTCACATAATCTATTGAAATGATAAAAACATACTATATTATGTAACGTACAAGTATTTATGTTTTTATAATAAAAAAACAAAAGAGTTTCAGACATTGGTTTTAATAGTTTAATTGAGCTTTATGTAGAGTTTTATTGTCCTTCTTGGTAGTACCTTCTTTTTCTTTGGAAGGAGAATGTTTCTTAAAACACTAGATTAGAAACAAAATAACAATATATTTTTCAAAAATTCCATTAAAAAAAAAAACTTAACGTAACTGAAAGGATTTTGGGTGGATGATGCCGCTGTAAACAGCTAATTAGAATCGTTACTACTTCCTAATTAAAAATGTGCAAGTGAGATTGTTATTTATAGGCATTTTACAGTTAATATTTGTGTCGCGGACTTTTATGTAACGTTGAAAGTAATAAACAGTTTTGCTATAGATTTCATTCCTTTATTTCAAACCGTTCAGGCAACGCACGCCATATTTGCCGACTTTAATTACATTTATTGCGATTAATTATTGAAAATATTTATTTACCAATATAAAAAATATTTTTTAGCATACAGGGATAATATACCTTTGGAATAATTTCTAATCGAATCAATAGTAGCGGCGATTATCCCGAACATCCAAACTCACAAATTTACCTCTTCATACTATTAGTATAGATTCAGCTGATCCACCACGTTACGTGATCGAGCTGATGTATTTCTATATGCTTTATATATTTAGGAAAAGTTCTCAATTATAATACCATATTAATAATAGTTATGTTTAATACATTTAATATGGGAATACAGCGTCAGGGATGTTCTTCTCTAGAAATCTGTCCGACTCTAGAATAAAGGTATACGGGTATGCAACCCCGGCCTGCCGAGCCGCTGCAGTGTCGCAGTCTTTTCCGCTACTGCAGTTTTCCCTCCTTTCCATTCCCACATAAGTTCCTTATTCCTCTCATTTACCAATTTCCTTTACGCATTTCCAACAATCCCTTTCTATTTTCCTCAATTTTCAAAAATAGAAAAAAAAAACGAAACGAATGAAATGAGATTTATTCATAAAAAATATAACTGTCTCTTAACTAATATTAATATTATAGTTTTATAAGGGTACAGTAATTATGGTTTTAGAACTGGGCTCCTAAATAGGTTAATATAATAACAGGAGTCACAGCTCCAACCCTCCTCTAGTATTATGGGGAAAATAATACTGATATAGAGTAACTATATCAAAGCTGTATATATAATTTAACATTAAAAAAAAAAAAAAAATTCCGGCTGATCGTTTTACAAAAAGAGTTTAATACTTTGCGTTTTATTCGCTGACTACAGAGATACTGTTGTTAGCGATCGAGCTTTTAGACCATCTTATTATCGACCGTTACTAACAATCTCTTTTCCACCAAAATACTATCTACTACCACGTGGACGAAACCAACTCAACTAGTTATAAATAAATATTTAAAGCCTACGTCACGTCACAATTAGCAAGTATACAATATATAGCGTGAGTGCCGGCTGTCGCTTAGTACAGTGACGTGCTATTCGGGCCAGGGGAAACAATGTGAGTATCCAAGTACACACGTGGCTGTCGGCTGCCGCTGTCGCTGCGGCTGCGCTGGCGCGGAATGTGGCGGCGCCTTGCGGTAATATTGTCGTGCTCGTGCATATTTTTTTTATCTCGAGTTAAAGCTCTCGAGTTCACGTTCTGACATTGGTTGTTGTTAATAGTTGAAATGTCTATCTTCGCCCGTGTATTGTCTTGATTTGCGTGTTTGAGTGTTTATTTTATGAATATAATAAAATGTTACAGAAATGAATAATTGTAATATTTAGAATCAAGGTTTTATATATTAATATGTGTTTTCAGTCTTATTGCTATTGTTTTTCTATATTTGCTGGAATTTTTGTGATTGATTTTGATTTGGGACATGGATATAATTCTCAGATGAATAATTCCAATTTTTATGTTTGTGGTGGAGATTTAATTATATTGAGACGTTTGGATTCTCTACCAGTGCATATATATGTCTTGGAGCCAATTGCCAATTTAAAATATTGAATGGGACAGGTTATCAATGCAAGACCGTCATGACTGCTCATGTACTAACATGGATAAGACAAAATAAAAAAAATAAAACTCGAAGAACATCGACAAACATATCATCATACGGCGATGACCAAGACTGAAGATTTTCAGATACAAATAACTAATATGAAACGATTACTTTTGTACGATTGTCAATATAGAGTCCTGCGCTGCTAGTGAACGGATTCAACACAATAATTTACACACTCCACACATTGTTCGACTTGTGCTTAGTAAAGTGTTAAAATCTATCCAGGTGTGAAGTATTTCATGACATTTGAAGGATGTTTAATTTTTTCCGATGCAATTTTACTCTGGACTCGATATATGGCTCGAAGTTAAGAATAGAGGATAAATTTACCTAGAAATTCTAGATGACCAGAAATTGGAAAACATATTTCGTAAAATGGCTATCAAGTTGGAAGTAAAGAGACGTAACTGTATCTTTGCAGTAATAAACTTTTAATATCATCCATCCATGAATGAGACGCCAACAACTGAAGTCATGGATTTGTTCCCTGACGCAAGTGTTCTCGCTAAAAAATACTTATTTTATTGTTATGACAATAGCGATAAAAATAAGAGTAAGCTAACTGTAAGATAATATTTTTTGTTTGATACCGTCAGGTTGGTGTTCCTACTGCTGTCAGTTCTTGGCACCACCCAGTTTGCGGGAGCTCTCCTGCCGAGCTTCTCGATGCCTGTTGGAGTGACTCTTACAGGTAATAGCAAGCACCTATGTTAGTGTTTGACCTATCTTAGACTGTCTTGCACCCAGACATAGTATTATATTATCTGTGCCCAGACATATTTAAAATGTCGAGAAGTTATCTAAAGGAATTAAAATTAAATGTAATTATAAATAGTACCATGTTGATGGATAGAGCCTTCTCGAGGGTTTTTTGGTGGATATCACCATGCGGCATGAAGAAAACCTCATGAAAGCTAAAACCGGGAAGAAGAACTTGGCTCACAAGGTGACCGAAATGTAGAGGGGTTACATGCACCGAAATCATTCCAATCGTTCTGTCGGTGTATGGTTTTATCCCAAGCGGTCTGAAACAATACCTCTGACGATTGAGATTCCAAAGCAGCTAACTTCATGGGAAAGATACATAAGCAGTGCTTTTGGATACTGCCTTTATAACACGCCGGTTTCTCTTGCTGGAACCCTTAACGCCGGTATCTGCCGGGGATTAATTTGTTGTCCAGGTAGGTGGGTAACATATGGTAATATCTATATATTTTCGTTACAATATCTGTATACTGGTCCAGTAACGATTATATTAAAAGTCTGTTATCCAAAAATAATATTGGATTACAGACTTTTACCTTAGATTACATAGATAGAGCATTGAGCCTCAAAAACGGGTCAACTATTTGTCAGCTAATTTATTTTATTTATTTATTTATATAAAAACACCACCAGCATATTGCATTATAACACATATAACAAACATTAAATACAATACAATATTAATGTACATGCCTGTTAAAGGTGTGTGAACATTTTAGCATTTATTTTAACATAGACAGTGCGAGAAAATGAAGTAACAATTATAATGAATAACTAATTCTCAATTTATCATTTTTTTTAACAGATTTCTATGTACCTACGCATAAAAGGTATCTTGACGTATAATTTAATAAATAAAATGAGTATAAATGCATTTAAAATATGCAGACTTTATAAGACAAATTAAATATAGTATTTATAAAAGATTCAGTTGTAAGAAAAAGTTGATCAGTTTTTCTCGATGTATTTCTATGGAGGCACTATCTATATAATCTAAGCTTTTAACATATTCGAAAATAATTAATTGACTAAAGTCAATTAATTATTTTGACTAAAGTCAATTAATTATTTTCATTTCAATTTAAATACAATTCATCTGTGCCCCTGCTCTACGTGACTAATTTAGAAAACAAAGTTATTAAAAAATATATGTGATATGTTATGACAATCGAAATTTTAATTATTAATATAGATAAATAACATTTTAAGTGGATTTATAATTAAGGCCATATTAATATATTGACTCCACCGAGTCAATATATTTACCTACGGTAGAAACACAGTTGGCCGGAATTCAGGACTCCAGAGAGAGAAACCGGCGACTATGCGGGCAGTATCCAAGAGTACCGCCGTTTGCATTTTTCTCGTGAGTGAACCGCTTCGGAATCTTAACAAGGACCAGCTGAGGCTCCTACTTATAATATGGCAGCCTCTAATTCATAAAGCCGTACTTGAGAGTTAAGTCTTGATGGAGTATTTCGGCTTCCTGGTTGTGGATATGTAAGTACTCACTGTTGGCAAGAGCTGAACAATCCGATAGCACATGTCTGAATGACTCTCTGGGATGGCGATACGTCTGACAGATATCCTCAGTGCCATCAGATCAAAGAAATTCGCATACTGTTCAACATTGCTCGTTTGAATAATTCACAGTAGGGTTTATAATAAACAAAACATCACCGGGCCCAGTTTCGGTGTGAAATTTTTTTATCATCAACTTCGTAATGCCCTGGCTCTGTTTTGGCGGTACAGATGGCGAGGAGTTCGAGTACATAGTGGTGGGCGCGGGCGCGGCGGGCGCGCCGGTCGCCGCCCGGCTCGCGCTCGCCGGCGCCAGCGTGCTGCTCGTGGAGGCGGGCGGAGACCCGGACCCCACATCCTGGGTATGCTATGTAGTCTATACTAATATTATATAGAGGAAAGATTTGCTTGTTTGTTTAAAAAAAATTGGAAAAAATATTTCACTTATAAAGCTACAATGTCAGCGAGTCCTGTCTCTTCTTTATGCAATCTTTTTTAACCTCGTTGCTCCTGATTATCTAAAAGACCGATTCGTGTTTCTCAGTGAGGCTAATGAGCATACTTTACGCGGTGTCAATAATATCCGCCTTAAATTTGCCGCTCATACTTCTTCCTTTCATTCTAAATACTTTACTGTCCAAGCAATTTGCCTGTGGAACTTACTACCTGCCTCTATTCGGTGCGCTCAAATTTTCACTAGCTTCAAAATCTCGGTTAAATCCTATTAACTCTCCCTTTAGTACTATTTTCCTGTGTTCTCTCTCTTTATTTTCCTTCGCCATTTTCTCCTGATGTATGTGTGCTATAAAAAACAAATATATACAGGGTGTAAGGGACAGGTTGATCAAAACAAAAACAGCTAATCCAGATAAATGGTCTGAATCAAATGGCAGATCATTTTCCCACCGGAAATGCACCATAGCCATATGAATAACGTATCTTAGTTTTGACGCCGCGCAATATATTTGAAATTTTACGATCCATACGACGCGTGATACGTTTGCTGTTACTGTTTTTTGGTATTTCATAGTATATCACTTATATTGTGACACAATATCATATTATTAGATGATTTTGAACGAGAAAAATAGGGGAAGAAATTGAATTTTTCCGTAAAGGATTACCAATGGCTTTTGGTTCAGAATAATGGTCTGAATTCACTGTTTTAGTTTCTGCTAACCTGTCCCTTACACCCTGTATATTAATTATTTTCGCACGCCCGAACGCACGCACGCACGCACGCACATAGAAGCTAGTAGATATACGAAACAATTACTATTTATTACAGGTACCAGCTGCATTTGTGGCGCTAGCGAACCCAGCCATGAACTATCAATATAAAACAATTTCCAATAATGTGTCGTGTCTGTCGTCATGGAACAGAGCATGTCAGGCCCGCCGCGGCAAGGGTCTCGGTGGCACCACCAGCATCAATTATATGATGTACGTCCGCGGTAACCGACACGATTTCGACGAGCTGAACATCACCGACTGGTCCTGGAAACAAATGGAGCCTTACTTTTTGCGTTACGAGGGCTTGCAAGATTTGAATCTTCTTCCCGCATCTTCCATACCATATCATAATACCACGGGTACTATGAAGATAGGATTCTTCGAAGACTCTAAAAATCCGTGGCATTCGAAAATCATTGATGGGTATGAAGCTCTCAATTTCCCTCATAATCCTGATGTCAACGGGGTATCTCAAATTGGAGTTTCTCGAATTATTGGATATACATATAGAAACGAGCGCATGAGTACTGCACGAGGATATCTCGGAAGAGATGATGTGAAGAGGAAACTGAAAGTGGCCAAGTACACCAGGTGTACAGGAGTTATCATAGACGATGACAACGTGGCTCGTGGCATTACGGTCGTTCATGGACCTTCTAATGCTAGATTACGACTCTATGCGTCGCGGGAGGTTATATTGAGCGCGGGGGCTCTCGTCACTCCACAACTACTTATGTTGTCGGGCATCGGTCCTGCTGATCATTTAAATGAAATGGGTATACCAGTTCGCGTAGATCTGCCAGTAGGCAATAATATGACAGATCATTCAATGGTGTCAATTTATGTTAAAGTGGAGGAACCGTTAAATTTACCGAAAGAAATTTTAAATAGCTCTGAATCGGGTATGTTGCTACCTCCAAGTGGTTCTATCAGCCTCACTGATGTAACTACTTTTGTAAACACATTGTGTTATGATTTTGTTAATAGACAACTCACGGGAAACAGTACGGAGTGTGAGTTGCCAACAACACAGTTCTATCATTTGTATACAGGTAGAGGTTTGCCTATAGTCGAAGGAGTCATCTTCAGATATCTGGGATTGGATGAGTCTGTAGTTAATCAATTAAGTGAGGTTAGTAAAAATTATGCTCTTATAAGGATGACGTCAGTACCATTGCAGCCAAAGTCGAGCGGAACGGTTCGGTTGGCAAGCGTGGATCCGCTTCAAGCACCTGTTATTTTTCCTAATTACCTGTCTGACGATCGCGATTTGGAAGAGATGATGCGCGGCATTCGGATTATCGAGCAGTTGATAGAGACGACGGTGTTCAAGGCAGCGGGTGCGTCGCTGGTGCGATTGGAACTGAAGGACTGCCCTAGCGGCGGCCAGCAGCAGGATTCAGACGAGTACTGGCGCTGTTATGCGCGCCATTTGACAGCCACTACGTTCCATTCGGTGGGCACGAGCGCGCTGGGCCGCGTGCTGGACGCGCGGCTGCGCGTGCGCGGGGTGGCGCGCCTGCGCGTGGCCGATGCGAGCGCACTGCCGCGGCTGCCGCGCGGCAACCCCGCCGCCGCCGTCATAGCGTTCGGCGAGAGGCTCGCGGATTTTCTTCTAGAGGATAATATTAATTGATAGTGGTCACATAATCTGTTGAAATGATAAAAACATACTATATTATGTAACGTACAAGTATTTATGTTTTTATAATAAAAAAACAAAAGAGTTTCAGACATTGGTTTTAATAGTGTAATTGAGCTTTATTATTAGCGTAGAGTTTTATTGTCCTTCTTGGTAGTACCTTCTTTTTCTTTGGAAGGAGAATGTTTCTTAAAACACTAGATTAGAAACAAAATAACAATATATTTTTCAAAAATTCCATTAAAAAAAAACTTAACGTAACTGAAAGGATTTTGGGTGGATGATGCCGCTGTAAACAGCTAATTAGAATCGTTACTACTTCCTAATTAAAAATGTGCAAGTGAGATTGTTATTTATAGGCATTTTACTGCTAATATTTGTATCGCGGAAAAATGTAATGTTAAAAGTAATAAACAGTTTTGCTATAGATTTCATTCCTTTATTTCAAACCGTTCAGGCAACGCACGCCATATTTGCCGACTTTAATTACATTTATTGCGATTAATTATTGAAAATATTTATTTACCAATATAAAAAATATTTTTTAGCATACAGGGATAATATACCTTTGGAATAATTTCTAATCGGATCAATAGTAGCGGCGATTATCCCGAACATCCAAACTCACAAATTTACCTCTTCATACTATTAGTATAGATTCAGCTGATCCACCACGTTACGTGATCGAGCTGATGTATTTCTATATGCTTTATATATTTAGGAAAAGTTCTCAATTATAATACCATATTAATAATAGTTATGTTTAATACATTTAATATGGGAATACAGCGTCAGGGATGTTCTTCTCTAGAAATCTGTCCGACTCTAGAATAAAGGTATACGGGTATGCAACCCCGGCCTGCCGAGCCGCTGCAGTGTCGCAGTCTTTTCCGCTACTGCAGTTTTCCCTCCTTTCCTTTCCTACATAAGTTCCTTATTCCTCTCATTTACCAATTTCCTTTACGCATTTCCAACAATCCCTTTCTATTTTCCTCAATTTTCAAAAATAGAAAAAAAAAAACGAAACGAATGAAATGAGATTTATTCATAAAAAATATAACTGTCTCTTAACTAATATTAATATTATAGTTTTATAAGGGTACAGTAATTATGGTTTTAGAACTGGGCTCCTAAATAGGTTAATATAATAACAGGAGTCACAGCCCCAACCCTCCTCTAGTATTATGGGGAAAATAATACTGATATAGAGTAACTATAACAAAGCTGTATATATAATTTAACATTAAAAAAAAAATTCCGGCTGATCGTTTTACAAAAAGAGTTTAATACTTTGCGTTTTATTCGCTGACTACAGAGATACTGTTGTTAGCGATCGAGCTTTTAGACCATCTTATTATCGACCGTTACTAACAATCCCTTTTCCACCAAAATACTATCTACTACCACGTGGACGAAATTAACTAGTTATAAATAAATATTTAAAGCCTGCGTCACGTCACAATTAGCAAGTATACAATATATAGCGTGAGTGCCGGCTGTCGCTTAGTACAGTGACGTGCTATTCGGCCCAGGGGAAACAATGTGAGTATCCAAGTACACACGTGGCGGGCGGCTGCCGCTGTCGCTGCGGCTGCGCTGGCGCGGAATGTGGCGGCCCCTTGCGGTAATATTGTCGTGCTCGTGCATATTTTTTTATCTCGAGTTAAAGCTCTCGAGTTCACGTTCTGACATTGGTTGTTGTTAATAGTTGAAATGTCTATCTTCGCCCGTGTATTGTCTTGATTTGCGTGTTCGAGTGTTTATTCTATGAATATAATAAAATGTTACAGAAATGAATAATTGTAATATTCAGAATCAGGGTTTTATATATTAACACGTGTTGTCGGCAGTCTTATTGCTATTGTTTTTCTATATTTGCTGGAATTTTTGTGATTGATTTTGATTTGGGACATAGATATAATTCTCAGATGGATAATTTCAATTTTTATGTTTGTGGTGGAGATTTAATTATATTGAGACGTTTGGATTCTCTACCAGTGCATATATATGTCTTGGAGCCAATTGCCAATTTAAAATATTGAATGGGACAGGTTATCAATGCAAGACCGTCATGACTGCTCATGTACTAACATGGATAAGATAAAATAAAAAAAATAAAACTCGAAGAACATCGACAAACATATCATCATACGGTGATGACCAAGACTGAGGATTTTCAGATACAAATAACTAATATGAAACGATTACTTTTGTACGATTGTCAATATAGAGTCCTGCGCTGCTAGTGAACGGATTCAACACAATAATTTACACACTCCACGCGTTGTTCTACTTGTGCTTAGTAAAGTGTTAAAATCTATCCAGGTGTGAAGTATTTCATGACATTTGAAGGATGTTTAATTTTTTCCGATGCAATTTTACTCTGGACTCGATATATGGCTCGAAGTTAAGAATAGAGGATATATTTACCTAGAAATTCTAGATGACCAGAAATTGGAAAATATATTTCGTAAAATGGCTATCAAGTTTAACTGTATCTTTGCAGTAATAAACTTTTAATATCATCCATCCATGAATGAAACAACAACTGAAGTCATGGATTTGTTCTCTGACGCAAGTGTTCTCGCTAAAAAATACTTATTTTATTGTTATGACAATAGCGATAAAAATAAGAGTAAGCTAACTGTAAGATAATATTTTTTGTTTGTTACCGTCAGGTTGGTGTTCCTACTGCTGTCAGTTCTTGGCATCACCCAGTTTGCGGGAGCTCTCCTGCCGAGCTTCTCGCTGCCTGTTGGAGTGACCCTTACAGGTAATAGCAAGCACCTATTGTTAGTGTTTGACCTATCTTAGACTGTCTTGCTCCCAGACATAGTATTATATTATCTGTGCCCAGACATATTTAAAATGTCGAGAAGTTATCTAAAGGAATTAAAATTAAATGTAATTATAAATAGTACCATGTTGATGGATAGAGCATTCTCGAGGGTTTTTTGGTGGATATCACCATGCCGCATGAAGAAAACCTCATGAAAGCTGAAACCGTGAAGAAGAACTTGGCTCACAAGGTGACCGAAATGTATAGGGGTTACATGCACCGAAATCATTCCAATCGTTCTGTCGGTGTATGGTTTTATCCCAAGCGGTCTGAAACAATACCTCTGACAATTGGGATTCCAAAGCAGCTAACTTCATGGGAATGATACATAAAGCAGTGATTTTGGATACTGCCTTTATAACATGCCGGTTTCTCTTGCTGGAACCCTTAACGCCGGTATCTGCCGGGGATTAATTTGTTGTCCAGATAGGTGGGTAACATATGGTAATATCTATATATTTTCGTTACAATATCTGTATACTGGTCCAGTAACGATTATATTAAAAGTCTGTTATCCAAAAATAATATTGGATTACAGACTTTTACCTTAGATTACATAGATAGAGCATCGAGCCTCAAAAACGGGTCAACTATTTGTCAGCTAATTTATTTTATTTATTTATTTATATAAAAACACCACCAGCATATTGCATTATAACACATATAACAAACATTAAATATAATACAATATTAATGTACATGCCTGTTAAAGGTGTGTGAACATTTTAGCATTTATTTTAACATAGACAGTGCGAGAAAATGAAGTAACAATTATAATGAATAACTAATTCTCAATTTATCATTTTTTTTTAACAGATTTCTATGTACTTACGCATAAAAGGTATCTTGACGTATAATTTAATAAATAAAATGAGTATAAATGCATTTAAAATATGCAGACTTTATAAGACAAATTAAATATAGTATTTATAAAAGATTCAGTTGTAAGAAAAAGTTGATCAGTTTTTCTCGATGTATTTCTATGGAGGCACTATCTATATAATCTAAGCTTTTAACATATTCGAAAATAATTAATTGGCTAAAGTCAATTAATTACTTTCATTTCAATTTAAATACAAGTCATCTGTGCCCCTGCTCTACGTGACTAATTTCGAAAACAACGTTATTAAAAAATATATGTGATATGTTATGACAATCGAAATTTTAATTATTAATATAGATAAATAACATTTTAAGTGGATTTATAATTAAGGCCATATTAATATATTGACTCCACCGAGTCAATATATTTACCTACGGTAGAAACACAGTTGGCCGGAATTCAGGACTCCAGAGAGAGAAACCGGCGTACTATGCGGGCAGTATCCAAGAGTACCGCCGTTTGCATTTTTCTCGTGAGTGAACCGCTTCGGAATCTTAACAAGGACCAGCTGAGGCTCCTACTTATAATATGGCAGCCTCTAATTCATAAAGCCGTACTTGAGAGTTAAGTCTTGATGGAGTATTTCGGCTTCCTGGTTGTGGATATGTAAGTACTCACTGTTGGCAAGAGCTAAACAATCCGATAGCACATGTCTGAATGACTCTCTGGGATGGCGATACGTCCGACAGATATCCTCAGTGCCATCAGATCAAAGAAATTCGCATACTGTTCAACATTGCTCGTTTGAATAATTCACAGTAGGGTTTATAATAAACAAAACATCACCGGGCCCAGTTTCGGTGTGAAATTTTTTTATCATCAACTTCGTAATGCCCTGGCTCTGTTTTGGCAGTACAGATGGCGAGGAGTTCGAGTACATAGTGGTGGGCGCGGGCGCGGCGGGCGCGCCGGTCGCCGCCCGGCTCGCGCTCGCCGGCGCCAGCGTGCTGCTCGTGGAGGCGGGCGGAGACCCGGACCCCACATCCTGGGTATGCTATGTAGTCTATACTAATATTATATAGAGGAAAGATTTGCTTGTTTGTTTAAAAAAAATTGGAAAAAATATTTCACTTATAAAGCTACAATGTCAGCGAGTCCTGTCTCTTCTTTATTCAATCCTTTTTAACCTCGTTGCTCCTGATTATCTAAAAGACCGATTCGTGTTTCTCAGTGAGGCTAATGAGCATACTTTATGCAGTGTCAATAATATCCGCCTTAAATTTCCCGCTCATACTTCTTCCTTTCATTCTAAATACTTTACTGTCCAAGCAATTTGCCTGTGGAACTTACTACCTGCCTCTATTCGGTGCGCTCAAATTTTCACTAGCTTCAAAATCTCGGTTAAATCCTATTAACTCTCCCTTTAGTACTATTTTCCTGTGTTCTCTCTCTTTATTTTCCTTCGCCATTTTCTCCTGATGTATGTGTGCTATAAAAAACAAATATATACAGGGTGTAAGGGACAGGTTGATCAAAACAAAAACAGCTGATCCAGATAAATGGTCTGAATCAAATGGCAGATCATTTTCCCACCGGAAATGCACCATAGCCATATGAATAACGTATCTTAGTTTTGACGCCGCGCAATATATTTGAAATTTTACGATCCATACGACGCGTGATACGTTTGCTGTTACTGTTTTTTGGTATTTCATAGTATATCACTTATATTGTGACACAATATCATATTATTAGATGATTTTGAACGAGAAAAATAGGGGAAGAAATTGAATTTTTCCGTAAAGGATTACCAATGGCTTTTGATTCAGAATAATGGTCTGAATTCACTGTTTTAGTTTCTGCTAACCTGTCCCTTACACCCTGTATATTAATTATTTTCGCACGCCCGAACGCACGCACGCACGCACGCACATAGAAGCTAGTAGATATACGAAACAATTACTATTTATTACAGGTACCAGCTGCATTTGTGGCGCTAGCGAACCCAGCCATGAACTATCAATATAAAACAATTTCCAATAATGTGTCGTGTCTGTCGTCATGGAACAGAGCATGTCAGGCCCGCCGCGGCAAGGGTCTCGGCGGTACCACCAGCATCAATTATATGATGTACGTCCGCGGTAACCGACACGATTTCGACGAGCTGAACATCACGGGATGGTCCTGGAAACACATAGAACCTTACTTTTTGCGTTACGAGGGCTTGCAAGATTTGGATCTTCTGCCTCTATCTTCAATACCATATCATAATACCACGGGTACTATGAAGATAGGATTCTTTGAAGACTTTAAAAATCCGTGGCATTCGAAAATCATTGATGGGTATGAAGCTCTCAATTTCCCTCATAATCCTGATGTCAACGGGGTATCTCAAATTGGAGTTTCTCGAATTATTGGATATACATATAGAAACGAGCGCATGAGTACTGCACGAGGATATCTCGGAAGAGATGATGTGAAGAGGAAACTGAAAGTGGCCAAGTACACCAGGTGTACAGGAGTTATCATAGACGATGACAACGTGGCTCGTGGCATTACGGTCGTTCATGGACCTTCTAATGCTAGATTACGACTCTATGCGTCGCGGGAGGTTATATTGAGCGCGGGGGCTCTCGTCACTCCACAACTACTTATGTTGTCGGGCATCGGTCCTGCTGATCATTTAAATGAAATGGGTATACCAGTTCGCGTAGATCTGCCAGTAGGCAATAATATGACAGATCATTCAATGGTGTCAATTTATGTTAAAGTGGAGGAACCGTTAAATTTACCGAAAGAAATTTTAAATAGCTCTGAATCGGGTATGTTGCTACCTCCAAGTGGTTCTATCAGCCTCACTGATGTAACTACTTTTGTAAACACATTGTGTTATGATTTTGTTAATAGACAACTCACGGGAAACAGTTCGGAGTGTGAGTTGCCAACAACACAGTTCTATCATTTGTATACAGGTAGAGGTTTGCCTATAGTCGAAGGAGTCACCTTCAGATATCCGGGATTGGATGAGTCTTTAGTTAATCAATTAAGTGAGGTTAGTAAAAATTATGCTCTTATAAGGATGACGTCAGTACCATTGCAGCCGAAGTCGAGCGGAACGGTTCGGTTGGCAAGCGTGGATCCGCTTCAAGCACCTGCCATTTTCCCTAATTATCTGTCTGACGATCGCGATTTGGAAGAGATGATGCGCGGTATTCGGATTATTGAGCAGTTGATAGAGACGACGGTGTTCAAGGCTGCGGGCGCGTCGCTGGTGCGACTGGAACTGAAAGCTTGCCCCGGCGGCGGCCAGCAGCAGGATTCAGACGAGTACTGGCGTTGCTACGCGCGCCATTTGACATCCACCACGTTTCACTCCGTGGGCACGAGCGCGCTGGGCCGCGTGCTGGACGCGCGGCTGCGCGTGCGCGGGGTGGCGCGCCTGCGCGTGGCCGATGCGAGCGCGCTGCCGCGGCTGCCGCGCGGCAACACCGCCGCCGCCATCATAGCGCTCGGCGAGAGGCTCGCAGACTTCCTTCTAGAGGATATATAGTGATAAAAAAATATATTACGTAACAAAGAAGTATTTATATTCTTATAATAAAAAAAAAACAAAACTGTTTCTAACATAAATTTTAATAGTTTCTATTAAGTTTTATATAGAGTTTGATTGTTTTAGGAAAAACCCTTCTTCTTCTATAGAAGGTGCTGACTTAAGGATCTATCAAGGGACATTTTTAATCACTTGAGTAGAAACATAATAATAATATTTTTTTATGAAATTCCTATTGAAATTGATAAAAACTTTACGTAAATGAAAGAGTTCTGGGTGGACGAGGCTGCAGTGAGCAGTTAATTGGAATCGTTAATCTTTCCTAATTCAATTTTTTTCTTTTTTATACAACTTATTCTAAGTTGTATAAAAAAAATATTTTAGGCAAACAAGCTGACGGCCCACTTGATGGAAAGTGGTTACCGTCGCCTATAGACATGAGCTGTACCATGGACATAACAGAGTATATTGTTTCGCCAATGGGCGAATGCGGGCGATGTCTATAGGCGACGGTTACCATTTTCCATCAAATGGGCCGTCAGTTTGTTTACCATTGTAAGTTGCATAAAAAAATATAATATAGTGTATTAATATTATTATTGTACACCGAAATAAAATATATTTTTATTCTTCATTGTGCCACTTAACGTAAATGAAGAAAAAAAAAAAACATAATACTCGAATGACAGTGTAAAATAACTTTATATAATAATAATAGAATATGTTATATATAACATATTACCTCAGTACATAAAATATATAATCTGTTTCAATAGATGTTAATGAAAATGTAAACAAACGAATAATTCTACCGGACATAAGACAGTCTGCTAATGTCTAATCTCATCGAAAACATAATGTGAAATGAGAGCCTAGATCAATATTCAATAAATAAATAAAATGAATTTATATAACAATTGCTTGTTTTCTTTAAAATTTAATTATACCTTTGATACCTTTAAAATTTAATTATAGCTTGAAGGATTCGCAGCTGTGAGGGTAGACCATGTCAGGGATTTAGTAACAATAATAACTGTCTTGTAAACATGCTCCTCTTCTTTTGTTAATGCATTTTTGAGAAGAGAAATTATTCACAACAGACGCGTGTTTCATGATTTCCACTTCAAATTTTAGTTGTTCAAACATTTCGATCATAACGGATTTCTTTTGCAAAGAACTCGCTTGATTTTGCAGCCTAGCAATATCTTTTAAAAGTCACGTACAATCGACGTGGTCAAAACCCACACTTGGCACCAAATGCAGGTGCATTTGGTGCCAAGTGCCAATAAAGCATCAAGAATTTGTTTGTTTGTTATTTCTTGTTATTAGGTCCTCAGTCAATTTCAGTTGAGTGAAACCCATCAAGATACTGTTCGTAGGTTACTCGAGGATGCTTTTCAGGTGTGGAATTCGTGTTATATCAATAGAATAGAATCCATTCAGAAGAGATTCATAAAGTACTTATAACACAAGGCGCGAACTATTTTCGGCCTAGATTACGAATCCACGTGTAAGCATTTTCATTTCTTACCTCCTGTTATTAGAAGGGATATAGCTGACCTATGTTTGCGACTAAGTATCATAAGAGGTGATATTAATTGCTCTGGATTGGTTTAAAATATCTTTTTGTTCCTTGTGTAGTTCGCAGGAAACCGTCGTGTTTATATGTCCCGCGGTACAGAGTCAACTTTAGACGAAATTCATATTCCTGCAAAGTTCCAGTTAAATTTAACAAGTTATTGTTTGACTTCAATATTGATCTATTCAACACAAAACAAATAAACACACACACACACGCACGAACGCACGCACGCACACACGCACGCACGCACGCACGCACACCCGCCAGGCCATGTCCTCTAAAACTGGCAGCTGTCAGTATTAGAGGACATGGCCTGCTCTAAACGATATGACGACATTGAGTCTCTTAAAAAGTCTTTGGAGCAAGCAGTGGAGAAAATTCCCATAGAACAATGCGTAAATCCATAGATTCCTGGTCAGACAGATTAAAGGCCTGCACAAAAGCCAAAGGTAGTAATTTCGAATAGAATATTTATTTATTTTTTGCTGCGACTGTCATAAATATGTAGATATAAATGTTAGTAATATTACATTACTTCATAAAAAAATGCATTTACATTTTTAACAGAACTTATGGCTGGTATTATACGTAATTCTTGCAAAATATTGAATTTCCATTACCAAGTGGAAAATCTAGTTACAAACACCTAAGAATGGTCGTTCGCGTCACCGTGAGCAGGTATATAATACACAGTAGAGATGTGCCACTTTACTAATTCGACTACTAATTATTCGACTGGGCAAATGATTTGTATTATTCGAATGATTTTCAAATTATTCGACTACTTATTTGATTCATTCGACTACCAATATCATTCATTAGTAGGCGTTAAGTACGAATCGACCCGATCGTTGAAATGTCTTAATTTGTTAATGGCTAAAAGTGTTGCTAATTTAAATCTAGTAAAAATTGCAAAGTTTTGATAAAAGTAAGTACAGTTTTTATAGGAAATTGCAAAAGTATTACAACACGTACTTTGTACAAAAGTCATTTGCTTGAGCACCTCTGTCTCATTCGTGTTTCTACCGTGAAAAAGTTTTGTTTCATGGCTGTGTTTCGATTTGAAAGGGTGGGATATGGCAGTGAATTTACACGGTATAGAGGAATAACACTCGAATGTTCAGGAATAGCAACGTATGGGGGGATTCATGGGCGAAATAATATACTCTGTTATGTCCATGGTACTGCTCATGTCTATAGGCGACGGTTACCACTTTGCATCAGATGAGCCGTCAGCTTGTTTGCCATTCTAAGTTGTATAAAAAAACACGTATTATAATTTGGCGTTTCTTTTTCTTTTGTCGTCGGTTTTACTGAGATACTACTGTAGTAGTAATGGATGCACCCTATGGAATGAATTTAGTAGTAAACAGATTCAGAGAAAGGACTTTCTTGTAATTGGTAATGAGTAAAATCATTGGAATACGGAAATTAGAATATAACTTATTTTGTAGTCGAATTATAAAATTAGTAATTACTAATTATTCGTATAACATAAACATTCTAATTCGCAAATAGTTAATATATAATGTGTGTGGCAGCTGTCGCTCAGTGCAGTAACCAGTTATTCCGATAAGAGGAAACAATGTGAGTATCCGAGTACGCATACTGCGGGCGACGGCGGCTGTATTCGCGTGGACCAATTCGATCCCGGTCATATTATTGCGTTCGTTCTATGTAACTTTGTTTTTTTGGAACTACTCTAGTGCTTTTGGCCATATATGGTATTTACAGTTACAGTATAAAGAAGACTAGTGCAGGTGATACTGCAAACCCGCGGAAGCGCTTACGGAGTGGCGTTTTATCGTCTCCTGTCCACGATATACTCTCAAGGTTGCAACAATAAAATATGTGTATATTTACCAGAGGGAGACTTTGTACAAAAGTCGATTGCTTGGGTACATCTGTCCCATTCGTGTTTCAACCGTGAAGCAGTTGTGTTTGCATGGCTGTGTTTCGGTTTGAAGGGTGAGATATGGCGTGAATTTACAGGGTACAGAGGAATAACACCTGAGTCCTCAGGAATGGCAACGCATGGGGGGTATCATGGGCGAAACAGTATACTCTGTTAAGTCCATGGTATTGCTCATGTCTATAGGCGACGGTTACCACTTTCCATCAGGTGGGCCGTCAGCTTGTTTGCCATAAAAAAAACGTAACTTCAGAAACGATGACATACTAAAAAAAAATTTATTATGTAAAAAAAGTATTAATTTGCTCCACGATGATGTAAAAAGTCGGTCAAGTGTAAGATATTAAATTTTCCTTCATATCGTCAGGTTGGTGTTACTGCTGCTGTCAGTTCTCGGTGCCGCCCGGACTGCGGGAGCTCTCCTGTCTAGCTACTCGCTGCCTCCTGGCGTGACACTTACAGGTAATATCAAGCCCACCTGATGGAAAGTGGTAACCGTCGCTTATAGACATAAGCAGTACCATGGACATAACAGAGTATACTGTTTCGCCCATGATACCCCCATGCGTTCCCATCCCTGAGTACTCAGGTGTTGTTCCTCTGTACCAATACTTCCTTTTGTGTTTTGTATTTTGTACATTCGGATATCATATGCTGTACTCAGTTATAATAAATAAATTAATCTTTCAAACTACAATTAGTCATTGTAGTCAATAAACATTATTACGATTCTTCATAATTTTTTAAGAATATGAAATTGTTAAAAAATAAATAAACATTTATTGTTCAATTTAGTTATAAGCATTAAATTTCATAATTATTTTTTATGACCATTCGGAATACAATTGAAGCTGAGAAAAACGGGCAAATAACTCAGCCGTCGCCTTGTCAAACAAAAGTTTTAACGTCATAATATTTATGTAAATGATTTATTCTATTCGTGAACTTTCCTTTGTAATAATGTTTAATGAATAATTTATTAATTTGATGTCAAATTACAAACAATCTATTAATAATATAACAATTATATTTCATAGTAGGTACGTATTTTTATTTTCACCTTCGATTTTTTCCTCTATTGAATAATAAATTTTCATAATATCATATATAAATTTTCAATGATTTTAAATAGTGGAGAATACTAACAATCATCATCATCATTTCAGCTATTAATTGTTCACTGATGAACACAAGCCTTCCCCTATAAGGAAGGATTTCCCAGTAGTTGCCACACTTGGCAGGCGGGTTGGCAACTGCAGGTAGGCTTTTAGAGATGTTTTAAGAGGGACGCTGCTTTTTTTTAATGGATGATAATGGAATGGAAACCCCACCTGCGCTAACGGTATACACTGGTGAGGCACCAGTGAGGGATGATTGGTGAGGATGAAAAGGCAGGTCAGTTGGTCCATCATGACAAGTTCAATGATAAATTAGTCACGATAGTTTCCAGGAGCAACCGCGTAGAGGTCGACCTGATAGAGTATATTGATAGCAATGGGGACTAATCTCCCATTACTAACAATCCTTTCCCCACAAATGGACGCTGCTGCCTATCTCTCTACAATTAAGTTCCTTTAGTCGCCTCTTACGGCACCCGCAGGAAAGGAAGGGGTGGCCTATTCTAGATCGGGACCTTACGGACTATACTAACAACATATGAAAAACATCATAACTTTTAAACCAAGTGAAAGTGAACTTGATAAATGAAATGCTATCATCAATAATTTTGCTCAAATCATCAATCACATCCACCTCGTGAACTTCGTAATACCCTAGCTCTATTTTGGTGGTACAGATGGCGAGGAGTTCGAGTACATAGTGGTGGGTGCGGGCGCGGCGGGCGCGGTGGTGGCCTCCCGGCTTGCGCTCGCTGGCGCCAACGTGCTTCTTGTGGAAGCAGGTGGAGATCCAAGTTTCATCTCCAGGGTATGTTATGGAGTTTTGCATAATAACACTGACTCTATCAGCACAGAGACGGTGTGCTTATGAATATGAACAATCAGAGGAAATTACATAAGAAAAGTCACAGGCACATTTAAAAAAAACTGAGGCTTCGGTCGTTAACACACACATCCAACCAACACGGAGATGAACTTTTGATGATCATAGAAATAATTATCAAAATCAGTTCAGAATGGATGATGTGATCTCGTAATAAATAAGAGACACAAATTGAGGACTTCATTCTTTCGGAGACCCACCCTTGCTAACAAGTTGTTAAACTAATCGCTGTATGTTTTGTTCAAGTGCAATAAAAAATATATGAACTTGCTTTATCAATAGATCTCTGGACACTATAAACTTCATGAATTAATTTAAATATCATTATTAATAATTGAAATACTGTTATATTTTAATTCTTTATACTTGAATTCTAAAAAAAATTTGACATTCTACCTATTAAAGCTATGAAAAACAAAAATGTAATTAATAATCTTATTTAACTACTCGAGTAAAACTTAATATTATTGAGATTTAATATGATTAGGATGTATTTAGAAGTAAGCTACCGCACCCCAAACGAACGAAGTCGCAAACTGAAGCTAGTCTATTAAATAATGACTGTTCATTATAGATACCGGCTGTGGCAATGGCGCTGATGGGGTCAGAAATGGATTACCGATACGAGACGATATCTAATAACGTATCGTGTCTATCTTCGAAGGACAGAGCATGTCTGGTCAGCCGCGGCAAGTGTCTCGGAGGTTCCACTAGCATCAATCATATGATGTATATCCGCGGCAACCGGGAAGACTACGACGCTCTGAACATCACGGACTGGTCCTGGAGACATATGGAGCCTTATTTTTTGCGTTACGAGGGCTTGCAGGACTTAGATCATCTTCCTATATCTTCTATACCGTATCATAATACCACGGGTACTATGAAGTTAGGATTTTTCGAATATTCTAATAATCCATGGCATTTGAGAATCATTAATGGATATGAAGCGCTTAATTTCCCTTGTAATCTTGATGTCAACGGGGTATCTCAAATTGGAGTCTCTCGAATCATTGGATACACATACAATAATGAGCGCATGAGTACTGCACGAGGATATCTCGGAAGAGACGATGTGAAGAGGAAACTGAAAGTGGCCAAGTACACCAGGTGCACAGGAGTTATCATAGACGATGACAATGTGGCTCGTGGCATTACGGTCGTTCATGGACCTTCTAATGCTACATTACGACTCTATGCGTCACGGGAGGTTATATTGAGTGCGGGGGCGCTCGTTACTCCACAGCTGCTTATGTTGTCGGGCATCGGTCCTGCTGATCATTTAAATGAAATGGGTATACCAGTTCGCGTAGATCTGCCAGTAGGTAATAATATGACAGATCATACGTTGGTGTTAGTTGTTGTTAAGGTAGAAAAAGAAACAAATTTACTGAGAGGAATTATAGATAGCGCCGGAAAAATCTTTAGTTTGTTAGCGGATATTCTAATATCTCGAGGTAGATCTCTTGGATCTATCGGTCTTAATGACGTGACTACCTTCGTGAACACATTGTGCTATGATTTTGATAAACGGCAACTCACAAAAAACAGTACGAAGTGTGAGTTGTCGACAACGCAATTTATTCATCAGTACGCAGCTAGAGGTTTGCTTGTAATCGGGGGACCCATCCTCAAACAAAGAATAGGTTTAGCAGCCTCTGTGATAAATCAATTGAGTGAAATTAATAAAAATTATGCTCTTGTTATAATCTCATCTCTAGTATTGCAGCCGAAGTCTAGCGGTACAATACGGTTGGCAAGCGTGGACCCACTTCAAGCGCCTGCCATTTTCCCTAATTATCTATCGGATGAACGCGACGTGGATGAGATGGTGCGCGGTATTCAGATTATAGAGCAGTTGACCGAGACGCTGGCGTTCAAGACTGCGGGTGCATCACTGTTGCGGCTGGAGCTGGAGGGCTGCCCCTCCAGCTCGCGAGACTTGACAGCGTACTGGCGCTGCTACGCGCGCCACTTGACGTACTCCACGTTTCATTCGGTGGGCACGAGCGCGCTGGGCCGCGTGCTGGACACGCGGATGCGCGTGCGCGGGGTGGCGCGTCTACGCGTGGCCGACGCGGGCGCGCTGCCGCAGCTGCCGCGCGGCAACCCCGCCGCCGCCGTCATCGCGCTCGGCGAGAGGCTCGCAGACTTCCTTCTAGACAATAATGGCGATTGACGTGTACGTTTGCAATACTAAACTTGTTATTTGCTCAGCCGTTAACTGTCTACTATTAAACATAACCTTCCCCATAAGGGAGGTTTTGCCAGTAGTTGCCACGCTTGGTAGGTGGATTGGCAACCGCAGTTAGGCTTTGAAGATGTTTTATGAGGGACATTGCTGCCAATCTCTCGCCCTCCCTTAGTCGTCTCTTACGACACCCATGGGAAAGAAAGGGGTGGTCTATTCTATGTCAGGACCACGCGCCTGACACCATATATATATATGAGTGTATGTGTAGGTAGATAAGGTATCTAAATAAGAACAATAGAAGCCATAGCTATAATATTTATAAATTGTTTGTTGTCTGTGTGTTGTGCAAAAACTACTATACTTCTGTCTCTGAAGGTCGTTTGTGAGTTCGCATGATATTTACACAGTATTTGTTTTTTTAAAGGAAAACATATCTATCTCACTCTATACACATAAATACTATTAATATAAGTTGATCACACACAGTACACTATATATTATTTATTATGTGGAGGGAAAAAATATACGCTGACCTACTTCCAAAATCCACACGCGAAGTCACCAAAAGTAAGTTGTTGAACAAGTGTTGTGACGGGATCACGGGAGGAGCAATAAAAACAATTCACGTCACGTAAACCGTATGTTTGAATCTTAAATTATATATATAGAACATCGAGTCTCAAACACGGGTCAACTTTTTGTCAGCTAAATGTCAAATTAATATAATAGTTATAAAGGAAACACTTATAACTGTTTATCACGCATAATTGTATGAAAAAGTTGACCCGTTTTTCTCGAAGCATTTGTGTGGAAACACTCTATCTACATAATCTAATAAAAAATAAAAATGCAAATGCGTATGTTCAGCAGCCGACAGTTAACAAACGATATGATGATAATGACGATGACAAGAATGTACATATAAAAATCAGCCAGTCAAGCTGTCAGTAATAAGTATTTTTAACGGACTTCGAAGATAGAGCAAGTGCTCTATTCAGTTATATTTTTTATTTTTTTTACCTCAGAACTTCGTCGTTTACGAGTATAAACCTGTTTGGAACATCCTTTTTTTTTTGAAAGAATACACTTTCAAATTGGACCCTTAGAAATTTTTATCAAAGGCAGCTGAGTTTCCTGAGTTTCTTGCCCGTGCTTCTCAGCGGAAATTGCATTCCGAACCGGGTGGTAGATTCATAAAAAATGACTATTCAAAAATGCTTATAATTAACTTCATTTGAATAAAAAAATATTTTTATTTATTTCATAATCGCTTCAATAGTTTGATGAGGTTTGTGTGTGTACTAAAATGTCAATAAAATACCTAAATATAAATCGTTCGTCCTGACTGTCTGTCAACGCAAAGCCAAAACTGCTAGAAGTTTAAAATTTAGAATTATAATGTAAGCATCCATTAAGAAAGGATATTTGAATATTTCAACTTGAGTGCTTTATTCCTATTTGATCTTAGGCCATATGGATGTAGCTTTACCTTTTTCGCTTATCTACCTATGCCACAATGACAAAGAGTAATCAGGGGTCTACCATGAAATGAAAATCCGAATTTTCGGACTCAATTTCGTGTTTCTGTTCATAAGGAGATCAACCCAGTAAATAGAGCCAGTAAATATAGTAAATAAATAATAAATAAAGTAATACCCAGTAAATAATATCATAAATCCTATTGTAAAAGACCGAAGGAATGATTATTTATATTTTTAAACGGTAAGCATCATGTAAATTTAACATCAAATTTGTGGTTCGTTCATAAATTTCGGGAAACATTTCATGGTAGGCCCTCGATAGTGCAGAATTGTTTCGTCAAAGAAAAAAGGACGGAAGTTGATTATTAAACAGAATGTAAATGAATACTTTTCGTTGTAGAAGTATAAATAAGTGTAAAATAAAAAAGAGTTGCTCGCCAGTTGGTAGGCGTTTTATTTTTTATGACAATAAAACCATATCATTGTGTTTGTTTCTAACCTCTCGGCGTCTTAACAACTCCTTTAATCATCCTGAAATTTGGTTTACACGTAGTATTTTGGATGGAGAAGAACACTGGCTATTTTTATCCTGGTCACTCGAAATATGATCTGTATTTAGTAAGAATATAAAGAATATATAATAGGGATATATATTTACATTATTACATGGATTACATCTCCATATTTAGAAATAATAGCATCTTCATCGTGTCTCCAATCAAACTGTTTATAACTAGTCCTCTCCAACCAAAGGTTACCTGGAAGAGATCTCTTTTAGCGATAAGGTCGCCCATTGTTTTCTCATTGTGACTATTTCTTGTAATTGTTTGTACCTATAGTAGGTTTACTTTTGTAATCTTTTGGAGGAAACAACACAGAGTATCTATTTATCTATCTATTTATAAATATATATTTCCATAACTTTAATATTAAATGATATTATCAGAGACATCTGTTAACTATTTCACTATGGTAAAGTAAACAACCAATATATCCACATCTTTACCTAATATATTTGTGTCTTACGTACCAAGTGTAAACCTACCTGTCTATTCATCAACATCATGCAGTATATGCTGAATCTCTTGGTATGTAACTCGTAATTTTAATTAGCTCGCAAAAAATGTGGAGGGAAGTTTTGAATTTAGAACGTACCTATTTTTACTTATAAACAATTATATTTTAAAATAAATTATAACTGGCCAGTCTCATATACATAAAAACTTTTTCTCGCAGTAATTTTTGAGTGACATTTTTTTTTATCGTGGGGAAGTGCATCTTGTAGACCCATATGCCCCGGGGGAGGCGTATGGGTACTGCCGGACTCCTACCGGCTAAAACCACCACGGCATCCCTCGCCGCGCCAAAGTGTTGGAGACCCGGGTTCTCTTTCGAAGCCCACCGAGCTCCAACGGCGTTGGCATGCACTGGCTTGCGGGCCCCGACTCAAAATATGGAGCAGGCACCTGATGTCAAGCGCCCGCCTACTCTTCAATGGGAAGCGCGCGAGGATACGCGCGGGACTTCCCAAGGCCATGTTGATTGGGGTGGGACCGCCCCCGCGGTCGTCACCCCAGCCCTTTGGCGAACGGCGGCTAGCCGCCGCTAACGATATTTTTGACCCGTATCTTGAAACAAGTCATGCTCACTTTGATGTCCAGGGAACGTGTTGTGCCGTTGTGGGTCTAGTTTTCTTTTTTGATGGATGATAATGGAATAGTATCCCCGCCTGCGCTATCGGTATACACTGGCGGGACGCCAGTGAGGGGTGATAGGTGAACAAGAAGCAGGTCAGTTAGCCTACGGTGACGAATCTAACAATAAATCATTCACGATGGTTTCCAGAGGGAACCACGAGGTGATCGACCTGACAAGATATATAGATAGAAATGGGGCTACTAATCCTCATTACTAACAATCCTTTCTCCCCCCTGTGGGCTGAGTTGTTGGGCTCCCTATAATACGGTTGAACACAATGATGGCTGGCTTATCCGTCATATTCGTGAACGAGTGCTTCTAGTAGGGACTAGTCTGTTCAAAAATACTGTATTTGGTTGTAGTTTTTATCAATATGAAATTTGAGTTATTTATTAATTTTTTCCTTTTTTTTTAAGAATGTAGCTCAAACACTGTTATCGTTAAAGAAATGCAGCTGTCTATACGCAGCTATTCCGGCTTATACGTTAACAAAAAGAGTAAATTTTAATACTTTGCATTTTATTCGCTGACTACAGAGTATGGAGTTCGACCTGATATGGTATGTTGTTAGCGATCGAGATTTTATACCATCTTATTATCAACTATTACTAATAATCCCTTTCCTACCAAAATACTTATGTTATCTACTATCTACTACCACGTGGACGAAATTAACTAGTTATAAATAAATATTTAAAGCCTGCGTCACGTCACAATTAGCAAGTATACAATATATAGCGTGAGTGCCGGCTGTCGCTTAGTACAGTGACGTGCTATTCGGGCCAGGGGAAACAATGTGAGTATCCAAGTACACACGTGGCGGGCGGCTGCCGCTGTCGCTGCGGCTGCGCTGGCGCGGAATGTGGCGGCGCCTTGCGGTAATATTGTCGTGCTCGTGCTAATATAATGCTTCTATTCCTGTTGACAGTGTGAACAGTGCCACTTGTTGGTTGACATGGCACAAAATATAAAGAATCCGATAATCAAAACCGTCTAAACAATCATATATTTAGACTTTTTATCTCGAGTTAAAGCTCTCGAGTTCACGTTCTGACATTGGTTTGCTGAGGAACGATTTCATATATTTTAATGACCACCTCACAAGCTCAAACAAAATCCTTTTACAATCTGCAAAGAAAATAGCCAAAGAAAAATATTATGCCTATATTTGGGTGTAGAACTGCTCCATTATGGTGCGCGGTGCGGATACAAGTTCAGTTCTAATTATAAGTAATAGTTGAAATGTCTATCTTCGCCAGTGTATTGTCTTGATTTGCGTGTTTGAGTGTTTACTTTGTGAATATAACATCTATATTATCATATATCTTAATACGTGTTTTCGGCAGTATTTTTGCTATTGTATTTCTATATTTGCTGGAATGTTTGTGATTGATTTTGATTTGGGACATAGATATAATTCTCAGATGGATAATTTCAATTTTTATATTTGTTGTGGAGATTTAATTATATTGAGACGTTTGGATTCTCTACCAGTGCATATATATATATGTTACGTTGGATAGAGTGTGTGTTAGCTCAAACAGTGTCTTGGAGGGATTATAACACTTAATTTATTGTGCATCCGGAAAAAGAGGAATTCCTATTGCTTACAAAATTTTAGAACTCATTCATAAATTAAACCTAAGTAAAATTGATCTAATACTGCAATGGATTCCAGCACACGTTGGTTTACGGGGAAATTAAGAAGCAGATCGTTTAGCTAAACTGGGCATAGAGAAAGGTAGGGAACATCAGTCATTACCACATTTTACTGATTATATATCTAAATTCAAAAGTTTATGTCAAAAAGATTGGAAAGAATATTTTAACGAAATTTCAAAAGAAAAAGGCATTTGCTACAAAACTATTCAGGCTGAACCTCCACATATTCCTTGGTTTTGTGGAACTAAAATCAATAGGTACTGTATTAAATTAGCTGTTCGTCTACGATCTGGTCATTATCCATCAAAAAAATTTGCACATATGATGGGAAAGTCCTTGTCACCCCATTGTCAAACTTGTAATACCATCGATGATGTGCATCATATTCTATTAGAGTGTCGTATTAACACGAAGGAAAGAGAAGAATTCATGCGCCACTTTAACTTAAATAAATTGAATGTTGGTCTTATTCAATCTATGTTAGCTGAACTTAAACCAGAATTTTTTTAACATCTCTGTAAATTATTGATGCCCATTAATTCTTCTCTTTCCGCGTCTAGGGAAGGTAGATAAAGTTTTGTTTGAGAAATCAGTTCAGGGTACAATAGGACTGATATACCTGAAGAAGGTAAAAGCCCTTAAAATAATATATAAAAAAAAATTGCCAATTTAAAATATTGAATGGGACAGGTTATCAATGCAAGACCGTCATGACTGCTCATGTACTAACATGGATAAGACAAAATAAAAAAATTAAAACCCGAAGAACATCGACAAACACATTATCATACGGCGATGACCAAGACTGAGGATTTTCAGATACAAATAACTAATATGAAACGATTACTTTTGTACGATTGTCAATATAGAGTCCTGCGCTGCTAGTGAACGGATTCAACACAATAATTAACACACTCCACGCGTTGTTCTACTTGTGCTTGGTAATGTGTTAAGAGTTATCCAGGTGTGAGTAATATTTCATGACATTTGAAGGACGTTTAATTTTTTCCGATGCAATTTTACTCTGGACTCGATATATCGCTCGAAGTTAAGAATAGATGATAAATTTACCTAGGAATTCTAGATGACCAGAAATTGAAAAAGATATATTTCGTAAAATGGCTATCAAGTTGGAAGCGAGGGGACATAACTGTATCTTTTCAGTAATAAAGTTTTAGTATCACCCCATTCAAACACCAACTGAAGTCGTGGATTTGTTCTCTGACGCAAGTGTTCTCGCTAAAAAATATTTATTCATAGGTCATGATGTGTAGATAATTTCTAAAACTGATTATTTAAAGCCATTGTTGATTTTATTGTTATGACAATAGCGATAGCAATAAGAGTAAGCTAAATGTAAGATAATATTTTTTGTTTGTTACCGTCAGGTTGGTGTTCCTACTGCTGTTGTCAGTTCTTGGCACCACCCAGTTTGCGGGAGCTCTCCCGCCGAGTTTCTCGCTGCCTGTTGGAGTGACACTTACAGGTAATAGCAAGCACCTATATATATAGACAGACCAGACATATTTAAAAACTCGAGAAGTTACTTAAAGGAATTAAAATTAAATGTAATAGATATATAATATATATGTAATATATTTGGTGGATATCACCATGCCGCATGAAGAGAACCTCATGAAAGCTAAAACCGGGAAGAAGAGAATGTATCTCGATTTGGCTCACAAGGTGACCGAAATGTAGAGGGATTACATGCACCGAAATAATTCCAATCGTTCTGTCGGTGCACGGTCTTATCCCAAGCGGTCTGAAACAATACCTCTGTCGATTGGGATTCCAAGGCAGCTTACTTCGGGGAAAGATACAGAAAGCAGTGCTTTTGGATACTGCCTGTATAACATGTCGGTTTCTTTCCCTGGGGCCCTAAACGCCGGCTTCTGCCAGGGGTTAATTTGTTGTCCAGACAGGTAGTGGCGTGGTTATTAAGTTCCCTAAAATATAGTTGAGCGCAATGATGGCTGGCTTAACCATGACGGCGCAAATACAACGGGCGGCCTTATCGCTAAGGTTTCTCGATTATCTACAATTCTTTTAGAAAGATAAAATTGTTTAAGTATGGATTTTATGAAAGTAATTTATCTGTAAGTTA